CTACTCTTGCTGCTCTTGGGTTTGCTCCTTCTAATGCTGACCCGTCGCTGTTTCTACGCCCCGACACCACTCTGCCGCCGTTCTACGTTCTCGTGTACGTAGACGACCTGGTCTTTGCTACTGTTGACACTGAGGCACTCGCCCACGTGAAGTCGGAGCTGCAGAAGAGACACACGTGCACAGACCTGGGTGAACTGACAAGCTATCTTGGCTTGCGGATCACCCGGGACAGAGCACAGCGCACCATCACCTTGACTCAGTCACACATGGTGCAGCAGGTCCTTCAGCGCTTCCGCTTCACGTACTCCTCGCCTCAGTCCACTCCTCTGCCTACCGGTCACTCGCTCTCAGCTCTGCCTTCGGATGAGTCCGTAGAGCCGAGTGGCCCGTATCCATAGCTTGTGGGCTGCCTCATGTACCTGATGACCTGCACTCGACCTGACCTTGCATACCCTCTTAGCATCCTAGCACGCTATGTCGCTCCTGGCCGTCACCGGAAGGAGCACATGGATGCCGCTAAGAGGGTGTTGCGCTACTTGTGCAGTACGTCGGGCATGGGGCTTGTGCTTGGAGGACGGAGAGACGTTGTCCTCACTGGGCACTCAGACGCTTCTTGGGCTGACGACCAGGCTACGCAGCGGTCGTCTCAGGGTTACACCTTCAGTCTTGGCTGTGGTTCGGTTTCTTGGCGTTCTACTCGCTCGTCTTCAGTTCTCAGCTCCAGTTGTGAGGCTGAGATCTACGCCACAGCCATGGCTGCACAGGAGTTACGCTGGCTCACCTACCTGCTGACCGACCTGGGCGAGCGGCCTCGTTCTCCTCCAGTGCTGTACGTCGACAACAAGGCAGCCCTTGTCTTGTGTCAGGAGCACAGACTGGAGCACAGAACGAAGCACATCGCTCTGCGCTACTTCCTTGCTCGAGAGCTGCAGCAGCGTGGTCAGCTTCGTCTTTCGTACGTGGCCACTCGGGCCAACACTGCTGATGTGTTCACCAAGGCGCTTCAGCCTTGTGATCATCAGCGTTTCTGTACTGTTCTAGGCCTTGTGCCTACTGTCCCTCACTTGCTCACTTCTTGACTCTGCCTGTACTGTGATCTCTATATATATACCTGCATGCTTACACTTGCTAGGTTGTGATCACTGTACCTCTTGTTATATTATCAAACTGCATGTGAACTGGTCTTGTGACCATTTGCTTGTGCTCGGAATTTGTGTGGTATCCTTGAGATCCACCCTGAGCTTGTTTTGCTTTGCTTTGCTCTGACTGGTCTTGTGACCATCTGGTTGTCTCCCACTTAGCCTATGGGGGTGTGTCAAACATTGTATATGTTTATATTCTATAGGCTATAGTGGGTTTAGCCTTAGGGGGTACAACATTCTAGGGTTTCCTACTTGTACTCCCAATCTTGTTAGTTCAATCACACTTGTTCATTCTAACAACTACTTGGTTCGAAGGGGAGCTACAACAGGATCTCACTCTCACGGTCTTGTCTACCGTCACGCAGTACCTCGGCCTCAATATTCAGGAGGAAGAAAACGCAATCTACCTCAGCGCCGCAAAATACGCCGACACCATCGCCAAACGCTTCGCACTCACGCCGACCACCATCTCCACACCATACCGCTACACGGCAGGAAATAACAAGGAAGGATCCGCTCCACTAAATCCCGCCGGCATACGCGACTACCAGAGAAAACTGGGATGCCTCCTCTTCGCAGCTGTCACCTGCCGTCCGAACCTATTGTACTCCGCAAGTCAGCTCGCGACCTACCTCAAGAAACCTGAAGCAGAACACATGGCGGAACTCGACCGCGCTCTCCACTACCTCGTCAGCACCTCAACCGTCGGCCTAACCTACCACAAGAACGGGACTACGACACCTAAATTAATCGGCTACGTCGAGGCAGATCACGCCGGCGACTCCGACAACAGGCGCTCGCGCACCGGCTATATCTACCGCCTTGAACCTATCGGGCCCATCTCTTGGCAGTCGAGCAAGCAGGAACTAATTGCTCTCTCCTCAGCTGAAGCAGAATATATTGCTCTCTGCTCAGCCACCAAGGAAGGACTTTACCTTCGCGAACTACTGGAAGAGGCGAAACTGGCCCAGTTACCCAGCTTCTCCCTGTTCTGCGACAACCAGTCTGCAATCCGCATAGCCAACAAGAATGGATTTGCGAACAGGACGAAGCATATCGCTCTGCGATATTTCTTCGTCAAGGACGAGATCGAGAAGGGGAGACTTGAGCTGTCTTACTGTCCCACGTCCGAGATGGCAGCTGATTACTTGACCAAGAAGCTCGGAAAGCAGAAGTTCGAGTATTGCATGCTGCTGACTGGACAGAGCCACGTCACCAGCAGCGACACTCCAGAAGCGAAGGGGAGTGTTGGAAACAAATTGATTTAAGCGCCTCTGTCGTGTCGAAACACTAAGACATAAGCGAAGCAGAACATATCGAAGCATCGGCGAGTCAACTCTCGGAGGTTGAGCAACCGCTGGAGGTTACGCGAAAGTCAAAGGTCAGCGACCTTTGACCTGACAAGTACAGTACGACAGCAAGGACAAACAACTGACTCGTTAGTGAGCAGTTGCCCGAGTCGTCACTGTATCGAACCGCAACAGCAACAGCAAAACAGTTATTAGCTATAACCTTTCATATTCCCTTGTACTCTTATAAAAGGCTTGTATCTCTTTGTTTTAATCAATCGACTTTGCCCTCACATACCAGCGCAAGGTGGTTCACAGACTTATCATTAAACGCTTCCGCTATTACACTATTCCTACTCTGAGTTTAGTCCTGCAAAGATCCTAAGGGCTTTTCTCAGCCCAACAACTGACACACAGGCACATTTGCTGCTGAGGGGGAGATTCTCTCCGCTCTCACAGCCTTCCACCACACTTCCGAATTTCAAGCAGATATTCCACTACAAAGGCATGCGATTTTGGGAACTGAAGTTTTACATGTTTGTTCATCCTCAGACACATGTTTCGTTTTGATCTGATTTTACAGACTTGGTAAAATATTTCGTCTGAATTTCCAGACTAGCCATAAATTTTCATCTGACGCTCAGACGAAGGAAAAAAACCCCATCTGATTTTCAGACGGGGTTTTTGACTAGCAACGTCCCTGACCGCGGGACGATGACGTCGTAGTCTCGTCGTCGACGGTCGCTCGTTGGAAGTCGCTCCCCGCGAAGGCTCTTGATACCAAGTGTTAGGCCCCTTGGCCTAAATCCGCTAAAGAATAGCAGGGTCGACTAAGTCGAGGATGAAAACGCGGCGGAAGATTTTGGCGAAAGAACTATTGGCGAAAGATGCGTAGTTACTGAGTAATTGAAGAGTTGAATGAGAATTGGTTGATAATGGCAAGTACAAGCAAGGTTTAAGTAGCATGCAAGAGCGATTGTTGGAAAGTAGTTTGTGGGACAAGGAATTGTAAAGCAAGAAGACTAGAGTGCCACGTGGCACAAGGAAATCAAGGAAATCCCAAAGGGATTGGATGGAGATAAGCTTGGGATTGGGTTGGGGGACTGTTTAGGGTAAAACACCCTTGAACAGTAAAGTACCCCGTAACAGTTGGGTAGTAAACAGCCTTCCCATTGTCTAAAAACTATAATGGTTATGTTCTGACGCTAAAAAGAATATGTCTGACATAAAGTCAAATACCAGTAGCTTCCTCCATTATGCGACTACCATCAAAGTGGGGTGGGTTTTGTGGGTGCTTTGAGCCCCACAATTCCCTTGGGAGGAGTGATGTCAGATTGCAGTAAAGAAGTGCGAGTGGAGTGGACCCAACAGATACGGTACAGGTTTCATGTGGGAAGCAGGGCTGAAAATACAGGCTACTGCTGAGCTGACCATTTTACCGGTATAGTTCACTTGAGCATGGGGCTGATTGATCAACCCTTGTTTATTTCAAGAATGATACAGTAGTGGTGTAAATCAGCCATTTTTTCTGCAGATTCTGTACAGTATACAAATTTGAGAGCCTGGTGCCAAGCAAACAATGATTGACACCATACAAAGCAATCAGAGATAATACGTCCAGCTTCTTACATAAACGTGTCCCTACTGCTGCCATACGGTATCTCAGCTGAGAAACCGCGAGCTGCTAGGTTTGGCCTTGCGGGGGAAAGCAACGGCCACAGTCAAGCTAGCCTACACCAGACCTACGTACTACCTTTATCTGGGACGCTGATTTTGAACCAGCTCATCACAACCCATGTTCTGTATACACTTTGTCTCTGGAACACCAACCTTCTACAAACGCTTCTTTTGGACCAAAAGGAAGTCATTCTCACAGTGTCAGCTACAGCTGTCTGATTTCCTGGTTTAACATGCTTCGTGCGGCCACTGCAGAGTGCTAATTACACCGAGGGACGGGCAAGAGCATGTTGGGAAAACCTCGAATGAACTGCCCGCGAACGGCGCCATTCGGGTAGCTGTCCGTGCTGATGGTGCCGTAAAACTTGGTGGGATTCTTGTCAATTCGATGGATTAGTTCCTGGAATGTCATCGACGTTCCAGGAACCATCGTTCTCCGCGTGCCCATGATCCAACGGTCCAGCTCAATCTGTTGCGGGTTTTGAACGGTCCACGTGCCCTCGATGTTCCAAATGACGGGGCCGTTCTGGCCTTTGAAGCCGAGGTTGATCGTCTGGTTGAAGGGGGGAAGCTCGCCAGTGAGATCGTGACCGTTGAAGTGCACGTGTGCGTTAAGCTGATTCTGAAACCTGCAGGTTTGTTGAGCGAGAGAAGGGTTAGGAATAAGTGGGAAAGGTCTTGGCGAGATTATAAGAGGGAGAACTATATACGGGCACGACAGTGGCGAAAAGAACGCAGAGCGAATGAACGGTAGACGAGCGGGAAAAGAGGGCGATGGAGAGCGGGAGTGCATACGGCAACCATAGCGGCAAGCATGCGGCAAGCACATGGGACCATAAGCTGGATAATAGAGGCACTCGATACGCGAGGCACTCGATAAGAGCAGTATAGCTTACCAGTACAAGCGGATCCATAGATCGGCATTGGCGCCCGCATCGCCTCCCAGCGTCGAGCTCAGCACCTCGTTGGAGCTCATATCGGCGCGCAGCACGCCTGAAAGACAGCGATGGGCAGAATGGGGAGAATGTGTGGAGAGTTAGTAGGAAACTTACGCCGCTTGTTCTCAGGGTTTCCCGATGATAGCAACATTGACGAGGTATTCGAATCTGAAAACCTCAAAAGACTGACATGTTAGGTTCACGCATGCGCACAGCAGCATGCCTACGGTTTGAGTCTAAACGGAAAGGCTGGAGGTGGGGATTTAAAGCCAGTAAGAATGCGGGCTCTATCTTAGTCTTCCCGGAGATGGCGCTGTGGATCGATACAGCTGGTTCAGAAAACTACATGCATTGGCTCGTGAGCGCGAATTGCGGACTCACATCGTAGTCTTCCCGGGAACGGAAGCAGGCGGCCCAGTACGGGCTGCCTAAAAATTCTCGCGTTGGCGCTGGTAGCGAGGGCGACGACGAGAAAAAACAGGAGGAAGCTTCTGGACGCCGCGAGTTGTGCCCACGCCATGGTGGAAGATGGTCGCACGTGTTACTCTAGTTCGGGGGTAGTTGCTGCAGGGATGAAGTTGGAAAGGTGAAGGGGGCAAAAGCAACTATCGAGTCGATCGCTTTTTGACCAAATTACAGTTTGTTCTGCTGAAATATAAGCTGACGTTTGAATTATTTATGAGCAGCACGCTCTAGGAGGCAGGGACATGCCACTTCACTAGTTTCTCCTCTCCTTGGTCCCCACCCTCACGCGGAAGCGCGTAAGGTGATACCTGGGAGGGAGGCATAGCATGTGGAAGAAATCGAAATTGAGGTGAGGAGGGGGGATGAGAGAAATTCCAATGTGCGGAGCTGTGTGAGGGCCATCGCGATTTGGTAATTTCGTGCACGAACTCGACATTTGCGGCTCGAGACTGGGTCTAGGATTTTCAGCACCACCGCCCAGTCTGGCGGTGATTATTCGCCACCAGTTCCGTCGGCGAGCACTGTGCAACGGCAATTGCCAAAAAAATGTACCATAGTTCTTACGAGAGAACAATCCAAACTTTACACTGTGAAGCGGTATTCCATAACAAGGATAAGAACTGACAGCTGTCAGCTCCTGGTGCTGTGCTTCAAGCACTCCACACATTCGTGCGACAAGTGCGAAAAACAAGCATCATCGCGAAATTCAAGAGGGCTTCGCTTCCCGCCCTGGGGAAATATTCCAACAAGGGCCACCGCGCGGCTCGATAGCCAATTTCCTGAACGAAACTCAATTCGAGTCTCAAGAATCCCATTTCCGTAAGCAGAAGGTTGAAGTTGTTTGGAAGGCATAGCAGGCGCGATTTATCGCAATCCCGTTGAACAGGAATAGAGTAGCGCACGCATAGAGGACTGATTTTCAATATCTTGCAGTAAAACACTTGTGATATCTCGGGACTGATCGCAGTAAGAGCTGAAACTGAATCGACGTGATACAAACCCCTCGGATGAAGCCAATGGCCCGGAATGGTCTGCCAAGCTTGGGTAAGCAGTGGTAGGACAACTGATGAAGCTCCTCGTACTTGTGCGTCTCCTAGATTTCATCCTGCTCCATTGCCTTTCTTTGCGAGGATTATGCTTGTGAACATTTCTTCTCCCTCCTGCTCCCTTCCCTTTATTTGCAGAGTTCGTGCTTGTTTGCCTGTTGGCGATGGGCGTCGCCAGCACAGCTCGCGCAATGGGCCCTTTCGCAAGAGGCAACACGTTCCCTGGAACATTGAGATGTGAGGCTTCCTTTACCATTGTGTTGTCCCCTGAAGCAATGCCTTATCATGACAGGCACTCAGTGTTTGCAGCGGCACATACACCGCTTAGAAAAGCACCTTTCACATCCGTTTCGGCGGGGAGCGACTCCTATCACTATCTTCTCTGACAGTCATGTGTATAGATATGTTCTCTTGCAGGACGATTTTTTAGTTTTTCTTAGCACACTACGCAAATCTAAACCTCCTTATTGATAGGAAACGACTTCTCTACCTGCCGCGCTTTTTGTACTATCCTGTATGCAGGTATATTGCGTGCGAATCTGGCGCCTAACGGCGTCGTTGGAACTAAGGGAGCGGCTAACTCGCAAGGCACGCTCGATGTCTACGTGTACAGGTACGGGTCCCCACTCCCGGTGTGTTCGACGTCACATTTGGAATCGAGTTGCTATTATCCTACCCGTATACAGATACGGATCCCAAACACTGTTGTGTACAAAAATGCAGCGCTCCCTTCCAGTACCTGAAACCAAATTTCCATTTCGCGTAAAAAAACGCTAACCAGCAATTTGAGGTCTTCGGCGCTCCAATGCCACCGTGGTTTGCTCTGGTTTTGCTTTTGTCTTCTCCCACCATGCAGCTTCAGGAACCATATCAACGTGCGTGTCATTCTTTTCTCCTACGGACTTGACACCAACACGAAGCCTCTCAACCAAACCATCAATTTCGGGCCCAAGGGACTCAACGGCGGATGGCTGTGGAACGTCACGGGGACGTGGGTGCCGCAGAGCGACAACCAGATGCAACTCGACTCATGGTTTACGCAAGCAAAGGGACAGCGACCTCTTGGCGCGTACAAAAGCGTGTATAGGATGGTGAGGATGATAGACCGAACACCTAGAATGTACTATGCGACTGTGACCACTGACGCCTTTCCTGAGGGAGCTATTCGAGGACAGTTTTCACGTCATTTTCCGAAGCTGCTTGTGAACCGCCATGTTTGCTAGGAGAAGCTCTTCTAGTTTGAATATGCTCATTGTATAAATAAGAGCATGGTGTTCTATCCACCGTTGCAATTCTGTGTATACTCTACTAACTGGTGCAATTTGGATTTCTAAACCACAAAATATACAATGCTGGTATTTATGTCTCAAATTACAAAGCTCTTTATACGATTGGAAATGATGTTTCCTGCCATTTGTGCTGTAAACTAGAGGCTGTATGCACTAGCGCGAATTTGGTTGAAAGTCATTTCATGAACTATCTAGCCGACGCACATTTTCGGCTTCAACGGGTGTGATTGCATCGCAGCGAATTCGTTGCGAAGAGTTACTCAGGTGAGTGTACGGCGTCGATCACCGACAGAGTTCATTGCACAGCACGTAGATGCGTGCGAGCCGACAAACACTGCTCGCAGCAATCGTCGACAGACTTTCGCCAGCGGGTGTCGTCACGCGTGCCGACAAACACTGCTCGCAGCAAACCCCTACGATCGCAGAACACTGCGACGTGCGTGACTTTTTTGCTGAGCTGGGAGCATCGCACATTCGGGTGCAACTATCGTGTCGCGTCGCGTCGATACGAACAGGCGCGAATGCACTTCGAATGTACTTGGGTGAAGAATGGGGAAGGTACGGCAGTCGGATTTGGCCAAATTGCGCCTTCCCCATCCCACTTCCCTATCTCGAGAAAACCGACATCCACCAGCAATCATCCTTGGTGCATTTAGACGACCTTCCACGAACCCAAGCATTTACGAATCGCAGAAGTGTCCATAAAGATATGCACCTTCTAACTCGACGCGTCTAATCTACTCACACGCTCTCTCACCAAACAATTAGCCGAAAATAAGCTAACTACTCGCAGCCTGATTCTTGAGTTACTAGGCTCACAGCATTACCCAAGGCTGCCAACCCGCATTACGCGTCCTTGTACTGTTTCGACCATACACAAAAACCGCCGGTGCCTCGCAGATAATGGCGTTCCACCTCAGGCGCGACCTTCCAGGTACGGCGGAGAGGCCAAAAGCAGCGCGCTCTTGTGCAGCGCTCTTCTACTCACTATACACTGCTCCGTTGTTCTGCGCTCTTATACGAGCCTGTAGTACTTGACAGAGGGACCCGTTCTTATACTGCGCTCGAGACGCCATTGCAACCGCTGAGCCGATTCCAAAGCTTAAATACCCTGCTCGTTATTGTCCTCTTCAAAGAGTCATTTCGTACCTTCCTTCGCGACTGTGCTCTGATCTGCAGGCTTGCTGCTTCTACTATCTCTTCGCCGCGACAGCCTCCGCATTGGTCGGACCCGTCGAACGAATCGCCCCGCCGCCTGGGCTTTTAAGATGTATGTCCGGCCAAATCTCCCCTCGTGCATACTAGAAACAAAATATGCTTTTGGTCGTCTCCCCATGCCTTCTTTCCATTATGCACGCCCTTTCTTCTGCGATTCCTTATTCGAGCCCCTACGGTTACGCATTCGGCAATCAGAGGCCTCTTATATCGAACAGAGCCCTAATTCGGCAACTCCTTATTCGCTTAGAGCTGGAAGGATCCGCGCATCCCCTTCCGCAATCCGTCCCGCGCATTCTGCGTTCCGCCTTCATTCTTCCGCTCGCACCACTGCTGACACTGATAATGTCATACTTGCCTGTTGCTGCACTTCTCTATTGTCACACGCAGGTACCTTGCGGGTTGACCTGAAGGACAACGACGTTATGAGCTCGTCGCTCGGCGGAGATCTCGGCGGCCATGGCGATCTCAACATTTACGTATACAAGTAAGAAGGCATCTAGAATCACATTTTACAATCACCTTTGGTACTCTAGATACAATCACCTCGTACGACCTTCATCCTTCCATATCTGACTTCCCCGTTCCTCTCCCAGTGCTGGTTCCTCGACCGTTCCCAGGTGTTTTTCAAAAATTCTTAATTTGCCCTCCGTGCCACTCTCCTAACCTTAACATTCAATGTTTTCCTCCCTCGTGCGCGCCGGCTCTCCTACGGACTTGAATCACGACGTTCCGCAGGTATCAAGGCGGGGTGGACGTCCATATCAGCTACAACACGCACGAGCTTTCGCTCCCTATGCCACCTGTAAACCAATCCATTAAAGCCGTGGTGCAGATATCCCGGCTCCAGTTCAAACTATTATAGTTTGAAAGCCGCGTAACCCAGTATACACAGGAAAGCGAGCAGGGAGAGGTTTCTGCCAGCGGGGGAAGGGCGTGCGGAAAAGTCCTTCGCAGTATGATGTGTGGGGGGGGGAAACGGGGGAGGGCTCGGGGAAAAGCTCCGCTCAACGAGATGAGGGGGAGCGCAGGCAGCAAACTTGAAAATTCAAACTTGAACTCAAAACAACTCAAACTCGGCAAACTCTCACGCTTGAACTAGGTTCTTACTAACTTGAAGTAAGTTTCCCGAGCTACGCAGAGCCATTTCCGCTAAGATTTCTCGCGTTTCATGGTCTATTGATGTGCTCACGAATATCTGCGCAATTTCCTACCTCGTAAACACCTTTTTTGTCGTATTCGAAGCGCATTGCGCTCGTTTTCCTCCGTTGCCGTCCTTATTCCTCTCCCGCCCCTCCATTCCTCACGTATCTGCGGTAGCAAAGGCGCAACGGCAGCGACAGGCAGGAATGGGTGCGACGGTGGCGAGCAGCGGGGCGACGATAGCTAGATATCGGTGGTCGCATATGAGCAGCGGGGCGACGATAGCGAGCGGTGGGGCGACGATAGCGAGCAGCGGGGCGACGATAGCGAGCAGCGGGGTGACGATAGCGAGCACCAGGGCGACGATAGCGAGCACCAGGGCGACGATAGCGAGCACCAGGGCGACAATAGCGAGCAGCAGGGCGACGATAGCGAGCACCAGGGCGACGATAGCGAGCACCAAGGCGACGATAGCGAGCACCAGGGCGACGATAGCGAGCAGCGGAGCGAAGCATCTGTGCGACGGTGGCGAAGCATCTCGCGTCCCACCCTGTCACCTCCCGTCCCATCCAATTTCCCCCTTTCCAATGCCTCCCCCTTTCCGATCCCTTGCCCGATCCTCAGCATCAACTTCGCTTGGCCAGTGCCCTCCCTGTTTTCCTCTCCCTTTCCCCCTGTCCGCCTCTCCCTTTCCCCCTGTCCTCCTCTCCCTTTCCCCCTGTCCTCCTCTCCCTTTCCCCCTGTCCTCCTCTCTATTTCCCCCTGTCCTTCTCTCCCTTTCCCCCTGTCCTCCTCTCCCTTTCCCCCTGTCCTCCTCTCCCTTTCCCCCTGTCCTCCTCTCCCTTTCCCCCTGTCCTCCTCTCCCTTTCCCCCTGTCCTCCTCTCCCTTTCCCCCTGTCCTCCTCTCCCTTTCCCCCTGTCCTCCTCTCCCTTTCCCCCTGTCCTCCTCTCTATTTCCCCCTGTCCTTCTCTCCCTTTCCCCCTGTCCTCCTCTCCCTTTCCCCCTGTCCTCCTCTCCCTTTCCCCCTGTCCTCCTCTCCCTTTCCCCCTGTCCTCCTCTCCCTTTCCCCCTGTCCTCTCCCTTTCCCCCTGTCCTCCTCTCTATTTCCCCCTGTCCTCCTCTCCCTTTCCCCCTGTCCTCCTCTCCCTTTCCCCCTGTCCTCCTCTCCATTTCTCCCTGTCCGCCTCTCCCTTTCCCCCTGTCGTTCTCTCCCTTTCCCCCTGTCCTCTCTCCCTCCCACCCTTCCTCCCCCTCTCTCACATCCCTTCCTTTCCTACTGTCCTCTCCCACCATTCACGCTTCTCTCAGCCATCCCTTTCCCCCCTCCCCTGTCCCTCGCTTTCCCCCACTACCGTCCCTTCCCTTTCCACTACGTTCTCTCGTCCAGCCCAGCCGACAGTACCAGCTTTGCTTGGCCACTGAAGGCTGTCTATCATATCTCAGTTTCCATGCTCTCTTCAATTTCCCTACCTAACATTCTTCAATAATGTGCAACGTTTCCTTCCCTTCCCCACCTCCCCCCCCCCCCCTCCCCCCTTTCCCCTCCCCCCTCCTCCCTGCAAATGGACAGCTGCACCAATATCGGAGTGTAAAAATCTGCTCTCCTTGGATGATGCCATGTTTGCTTTTATCCTTAGCATAATAAGGATTTCAATATGACATTCCAAGTCTTGCACATCTGTACAGTTGATGTTCTTTCTCCCCATTAGAAATATTACTCTTGCAAATGGATGGATAAATAAACCAAAATAAAACTTGAAAGTGAAATTGGTATTTTGCGCAGCTTTTTTGGAACATAAGGTTTCTCGTTTTGCAATGTGGAGGTGTTATTGGCAGAACAATCAGCGAAAGGGAGTATGGGGGTGTTGATGTGGTCCCATTTCCCGTTTCGTGTGTGTTCCCCCCTTTCCTTCCCCCCAACCCCTTCCCCCCCACTTTTCCTTTCGAGGTTCGCGACATTCACCTTAGATGTTTTCATCGCAACACGACTTACACTCTCGCTAGCCAATTGACTACCAGTACGGAACAAGACAAAACCCGGTTTGACACTGTTCCTAAGATAGTTGCACCGCGGCTTTAACCTTGGGAGACGTGGCGCGAACGGTGCCGTGGTGTGGAACATTGAGGGCACGTGGACGCAACGAAACGAGGACCAGTTGGAGCTGAAGCGCGTGTTCAAGCGCGCGCCGAGTGTCATCATTCCCGGTACAGGCATATCCGTTTACAAGATGGTGAAAATGATTGACCGGAATCCAGGCAAGTACTACGCGACAATTGCTACCGACATGTTCCCTGAGGGTGCGATTCGCGGGCAGTTTTTCCGCGGCTTCCCAACCCAGCTAATCCCTAGGCCCGCATGCTAGCACCTGACCTCTCCACGTTGACTGGTCACGGACCGCTGCATTGGGAGTCACTAAAGACCAGAAAGACACATCCCTGTGCAGCTCATTCATTTCAGCCTGCGTTGAGATTCCTGTTGACTAGAGTTTCGCTCCGACTGAGGGCGTGTAGCTGTGCTATGTAAGTAGAAGGCTATGAAAAATGTTTTGTTTAACTGTGGAATTGTAATACAGTTACAATTGAAACACTGATGCATCCACAGCATAGCTCTATGCTGGGCCTTGAGATTGCACAGGAAGCACATGAAAAAGCCTTCCAAATAGACCGATTTGAAGGAAAGTACAAGCCCACGAGCCAATTTGACCTTCTGCTTTTACCTAGCTGCTTTGCTATGCTGGGAAACAAAACGCTCTATAAGGGGGTTCACGATGTGGGGAGCTTCATCCTGAGGGCAATGGCCCACCCCTGGGAACTCCTCAAAACCGACCACACAGGGGAAATCCTTCAATGTCCTGCCTTGCTCCACTGGCTCCCAGGGGTCCGCTTGGCCCCATCCGAACAGCACAGGGCACTGGCGAGGGCGGGGGGAGGGAGGATCATAGGAGAGACACAAGAAAGAGAGAGGGAGTGTTGCGACTCGTGAGATGCGATGCGAGAGAGTGTGTGTGCAGTGCAGCCTCTTAACTGCCTGCCTTGCTCCACCGGCGCCCAGATGTCTGCCTGAGCCCACCCGAACAGCACAGGGCACTGGAATGGGGGAAGGGAGTGAGGGAGAGAGGGAAAATGGGAGTGCAGGGATAGAGCATTGTGACAGAGGTCTGCCTGGCCCCACCCGAACAGCACAGGCCACTGGGGAGTGGGAGTGGGAGAGGTAGAGAGAGGGGGAAAGGGAGAGTGGACAAGACAGAGAGAGGGAGAGAGGGGAGAGGAAGAGAGGGAAATAAGAGGGCACACGAAAGGGTGCAGGAGAGTGGGAGAGCAGGCGTGAGGGAGAGAGAGGCAAACGGGGGAGGGGAAGGGGGAGAGGGGTAGAGCAATAAGCAAAAAAAAGAAGCAGATGGAGCAACAGAAAAGACCCAAAAGGCTTCTCCTTGCACACGGTTTTCCTACGAAAAGAAGCAGATAGACGAACAGAAGGCTCGGCACTCCTGAGCACACTCACACTCGAGATTCTCAACAAGTGACGGTCCCCTCCCACTTCCCCCAAGCCCACCTGCACTCTGGGTAGCAGATCCTCTGGCAGCGGCCCGCCCGAGTAGCAGATAAAATCCAGAAACACATCGACCGCCCCTGGCTGCAACCCGGGCTTGAGAATCAAATCCACGAGCTCATCCGTTACTGTAGCCGGGTCGCCGTAACACTGGCGTAACACGTTACGCACGGCGCGCGGCGTGGCGACTGAGGCAAAGAATTGCTCTCCGAGGGAGGTGGAGCGGAGGGTGGATTGGAGGAGGGCGACGAAGGGGCGGGCGAGGAAGGGTTGTTTGCGAATGTGGAGATTTCGGAGGGAGATGTTGAGCAGGAGGAGACCGAGGACCCTGGAGGGGTGGGAGGCTGCTGCTTGCAGTGCCACCACTCCTGGGAAGAGGGAGTTTGGGGGTTGGGAAGAGGGGAAGAGAGGCGGAGAAAGAGGGGAAAGAGAGAGGGAAAGAGAGGGGGAGAATCAGGGAGGCAACAGAGGCTGAGAAGTGCTCTCCGAGGGAGGTGGAACGGATGGTGGATTGGAGGAGGGAGCCGAAGGGACGGGCGAGGAAAGGCTGCTTGCGAATGTGGAGATTTCGGAGGGAGATGTTGAGCAGGAGGAGAGCGCGGACTTTAGAGGGGTGCGTGGCTGCTGCTTGCAGTGCCACCACTCCTGGGGATGGGAAGGAAGGGGGGGAGAAAAAGAGGGAGAGGAAATCAAGGAGGTTTCGGAGGGAGATGTTGAGCAGGAGGAGAGCGCGGACTTTAGAGGGGTGCGTGGCTGCTGCTTGCAGTGCCACCACTCCTGGGGATGGGAAGGAAGGGGGGGAGAAAAAGAGGGAGAGGAAATCAAGGAGGTTTCGGAGGGAGATGTTGAGCAGGAGGAGAGCGAGGATTTTGGAGGGGTGGGTGGCTGCTGCTTGTAGTGCCACCACTCGTGGGGATGGGAATGGAGGAGTGAGTGAGTGAGGAGTGCCAAGGATGTGCTAGGATGTGCTAGGGTGGTCTCATGCCCACCCACCCACTCACTCACTCTCTCACTCTCTCACTCACCCACTCACCCACTCACTCACCCACTCACTCACCCACTCACACACTCACTCACCCACTCACTCACCCACCTACTCACTCACCTCCCACAGAGTTGGTCACGATGAAAGCCTCCTCGACCACCACCTGGTCAATGAAGTCAACGCAGTATGACCTGGTCAATAAAGTCAATTCACCCACTTACTCACCTCCAACTGAATTTGTAACGATGAAAGCCTCCTCGCCCACCACCTGGTCAATGAAGTCAACGGCCTGCTGCCCCCAGTTCTCAAACGTGTACTCTGATTGGCCACCGCTCACACCACCACCAGCACCACCACCCCCCTGCTCCTTCTGCCCCTGCTCCCCCTGCTCCGCCTGCTGCTCTTTCTTGATCCGGTAGCTCGGGGTGGGTTTATCCGAGTATCCATACCCCAGCAGGTCGATCGCAAACACGCGGTGCCCCGATGCGCCCAGCACTCGCAGCGTGTGCCGCCAGTGGTCGCTGCTGGCGCCGAATCCGTGAATCAGGAGGACGGGCGGGCCTTGCGAGCCTGACATTTGGTATCTAATCGAGTGGCCGCGCCACAGCCAGGTGCTGGGGGTGAGGAGGGGGGAAAGGGTGCGGAAAGGGGAAGGAAAGGGGTTGCGCCCAGCCCTCGCAGCGTGTGCCGCCAGTGGTCGCTGCTGGCGCCGAATCCGTGGATGAGGAGGATGGGCGGGCCCTGGGCGCCGGATTGCTGGTACCTGATTGAATGGCCGCGCCACTGCCAGGTGCTGCGGGGAGGGGAAGAGGGGGAGAAGAGGAAGCGAAGAGGAGAATGAGGAGGATGGGCGGGCCCTGGGAGCCGGATTGCTGGTACCTGATTGAATGGCCGCGCCACTGCCAGGTGCTGCGGGGAGGGGAAGAGGGGGAGAAGAGGAAGCGAAGAGGAGAATGAGGAGGATGGGCGGGCCCTGGGAGCCGGATTGCTGGTACCTTATTGTGTGGCCTTGCCACTGCCAGGTGCTGGGGAAGGGAGGGGCGGAGAAAGGGGGAGGGAGAGGGGAAAAAGGGGGTAGGTAGGAGGATGGGCGGGCCCTGGGAGCCGGATTGCTGGTACCTTATTGAATGGCCTCGCCACTGCCAGGTGCTGGGGAAGGGAAAGGGGGGAAGAGAGGGGAGGAGTGGGGAGGGAGCGGAGGGAAGGGGGAAAGGAGGAGGAGTGGAGGGCCCTGGGAGCCGGATTGCTGGTAGCGGATGGAGTGGCCTCGCCACAGCCAGGTGCTGGGTTGATTGGGAGGGGGAGGAGGGGAGGAAGGGCGAAGAACTAGATGAGTAAAACACCCTAACCACTCTTGAGATCACTTTTGAGAATTCTCAAAAGAGAAGGTTGAAGATCTAGATAAGAAAAACATCCTAACCACTCTTGAGACTTGAGGCGCCACAAAACTCTTGAGGCACCTCACAAGGACCCTCCCCACTCCTTCGATTTCCTCATTCCCTCACTCACTTCCTCAGTCGCTCACTCACTCATCCCCTCACTCCCTCGCTTTCTCGTCCCGGATTCAGCCCGTTCCTCCCTCACACACCGCGTTTCCACCACGGGTTGGTCCACGTCGGATTCAGACCCTGCCACGTCAGCAACCGCCGTGCTCGCTCCCTCTTCCCCTTCCGATTCCCCTTCCCCCAACAAGTCCTCCACCGCCTCCGCCGCAACCTCCTCCGCCAGCGCGCCTTCCGCCCCCAGCCCCACTGGCGGGCGCTTCAGTGACGCCGCCGCTACCGTTCCGCGCCCCCCACTCCCCCGCGTGCGCGCTGAATCCGCCGGTTCACGCGGCGGAATACTCCCTGACAGCGCTACCGCCGCGCGGATACGTGTGCGCGCACTGGCGGAAATCCACGGGAATGGCGCAACGCAAAAGGGGGACGGGGAGGCTGACGTCGCCGGCGACACAAATCGAGACGCATTTCTGACCGTTGGATGCGAGGGAGTGAACGGACGCGATGGGCGGGGGAGGATGAGCGACGGGTCCATAGCGACTGCGATGTGGGTTAGTCTCGTCGCGTAGGTCTAACTCTGATCGCGGTTCGACTAACCCGCCTGACCGCCTGTTGCCTTAGAAGTGGTCAACTCCTACTTAGCCGTGACAACGAATAAGCAGTGAGTGACATTCGAATTGCCTCTAGGGGGTCTTCTCGGAATGAATGCGCTTGAAACCGTGTAAAGTCCTGCTGGCGATGACGTGGCGCAACGACGTTGAGCAGGAGTCGCGACCTAGGGAACCACGTGCTGCACTCTCCTCCACCAAGTTGGCGTACCCGGTAGGAAGAGTCCTGATTTCGCTACTGTACAATTAGGCCGGAAATCGGTTTGAAATAAAACATCTCTTCGATTGGTTTTCCCCTTTTGAGCTCGATGGACGGTGAGATGGGATGCTTAGAGATTTCTAGCGTTTCATTATGTCTAGAACGATTCAGTGGGGTTTCGGTTCGAGCTAAACACGAACTGATATTTCGATTCAAGCTGACACGCTGACGACGATCAATCCGCATCACCTTTGGCTGTTCGCTGCCTTGTCGAATCGCTTCGCCGCCATGCGAGTAGACATCGCATCCTTTCTTGCTGACGTCAGTCACAGTCGAGATCTCCCACACTCGGAATATCCCAGCGGAAACGGGTCGTCAAGCCTGACGACCCTCTGACGACTTGACGACATGCTGCCCCGGGCAGAAAAAAACTAAAACCCTATCGGATGCCATGCCATCCGAGGGAGGCATCAACCCTAAATCCATGCCTCCCTGTGTTTAGGGTTGATGCCTCCCTGACCGGATGCATGCCCGAATGGGTTTTATTTTTTTTGCCCGCGGGCAGCGAGGTCCCCCGGGCGGACTCGCTTGTCCGCTGAGATATATTAACCGTACGCAAGCGGGAATTTCGACGTAGGAATATTCCACCTCGTTGCAAAGGAGAGTCGACACTCTCCACGTACTACGGTGCATAACGGCCCACCTTGCAAGATTTCTTTCTGGGCGTGTAAGGGCGTGTCTGAAGTGCAAACGTCGAGTTTCGTCAAATTTCGTCGACGAAACTCATCCGTGGGACCCACGCGTGTTGGTGTCTGAAGTGCAGCCTGACATCCCTCGACGAAACTCGACGTTCGTGCACATGTCGAGGGATGTCGAACAGTGATACCGGGCAGCTGTTTGAGTCACTGTAGTCAGTGAGTGTTTCAAAAACAATTCTTCGACACGCCATGTCTGCATAGCTGTGGCAAACACACGTGAATAAGAACTAAGACGAGAGCGACACGTGCTAGAGAAATTTCGCTGGCAATGTGACAGTAGAATATCCGGTGTTACCAGCAACAATCTATGCTAAGCGAAATTCGCGAGATTGCAAACAATTGAGTTACATGAATGATTCTGTTAATTCCACGTCGAATTTTCATGGGCAACTTATAACAGTGTTCCTATGGCACGTGTGGGTTATTTTGTCGTGTGGGTGTCTGAAGTGAACACAGCTGAAAACGGATGTCGAGTTTCGTCAAGGAACGTCGACGAAAGTTTCGTCAGCAAACGTCGAAATTCACTTCAGACACGCCCTAAGGTTTCCAAGCGGCGCGTCACCTCGAATCCTGTATATTCTAGAGCCGTTTTTCTTATGGAAAGATTCAGTGAGATTTTCTTGCAAGTAGCGCTTTCTTACTGGAAGATTCAGTCAGATTAGCTACCTTGCATCCGATACTCGCCTGTGCGATCCTGTCCGTCCGTCCGTCGTCTCTTAGATTCCCTGCACGATCACGCGGAACGGCTCCGCGTGGAGCGTCGATGGCGCAATCCGCTTTCCGCCCGCCCTCTTTCCGCGTGTCCTCTTTCCGCGCACCAGTCCTTTTGACCTCCGCGCTTCTACTAGCCGTCACCCTCGTCATTGTCGCGCCGATCCACGTCAGCAGTAGCCCGCACAGCCCACACGTGGCGCGATGCTCGCCGATCTGGCAGACACGTGGCCGTCCGTGCTCCTGGTTCGAGGTATGTCGCTCGTATCCCTTCCCTCCTACTGATCCGTCCGAGTTTTTAACATACGTAATTTCTTTGCCACCAAGTAGTTATGATTCCTTCAAAATCGTTTATCAGTTAGATTGTTTTGTTTCATGTTCCTCTCGCAGGGATGGTACGTGCGTGTAGTGGACCCCTCTACAGGAGGCAGCTATGCTGCGATTATAGGGTCCATGCCTATATCGAATCGCTCTATAGCGATGCTGCTCAGCTGCCACCCCAAGGGGAAGGGAGGGCGGGAAAGTTGTCAGGTGGGGGAGGGGCGGAGGGTGATGAGAGAGGAGGGAGAAGGGGAGCAGCAGCAGCAGCAGGGGACAGGAGAGTCAGAAGGCGGGTGGAGTGGAGGGGCAGTTGGGGAAGGGGCATCAGAGGCGGGAGCGTGTGGGGTAGGAGCATCTGGGGAAGGGCCTATTGAGTACGTGGTGGGGCAGGATGCAGCAGGTGACACAGAAGCAGGGGCGTTTGAAGCAACCGTGGGGGGGGGAGGAGGAAGAGCATTTGGGATGGGAGCATGTGAAGTGACGCTGATTGAAAAGATGGAGATCGCAGTGAGTGGATCGGTATGGATTGAGAGAACATGGTGTTAATGTGATGGTTCAGAAGCGGCAGTGGGTGGGTGGGTTAACAGGAGGGTGATCTGGGATGGGAGCGTGTGAAGTGACGCTGATTGAGAAGATGGAAATAGCGGTGAGTTGACCAATCACGATCGAGGCAGGGGTGTACTAATTCGAGAACTCCACAGAATCAAGTGAGTTGAACGCCTGTCTTTAAATATGTATTCTCGCCCACCTGCCTTCACCTCAAACAACACACGCCCCTCGTCCCGCTCTCCCCATCCCTCTCCCTTCATTCCCCCCCTGGCTTCCCCCCTTCCCACCCCAGAGTCCCCGCATAACAGTGGGCACGCACCCTCCCAGGCCCGCCTCCTCCGACCCTCAGACTCCGCCTCACCCACATTCGACTGGCTGGTGGAGGGCACTGGGCAGTGGGCACCTCATGTCCCCCCCCTTCTGCACTACCCCCTGTTAATTCTTCCCCACCTGTGTTTGAGTGGCGGGTGGAGGGCCATGGGTTCCTCATATCCCTCCCCTTCTTCACTACCCCTTGTCAATCCCCCTTCCCACCCCAGCGCCCCCACATAACAGTGGGCACGCACCCTCCCAGGCCCGTCTCCTCCGATCCGTCAGACTCTGCCCCGCCGGTGTTCGAGTGGCGCGTGGAGGGCCATGGGTTCCTGATTTCTCGTGGGTTCAACCACACGGCTGTGGATATTAGAGTGGGGGGGTCGAGGCTGCAAGCTAATTTGACCAACCAGGTGTGTCTGTGTGTGTGTGTGTGTGTAGCGTGCCGCGTGCGTGCGTGTGTGCGTGCGCGCGTGTGTGTGTGTCTGTGCGCGCGCGCGCACGCACACGTATGTGTGCGCAGGTATTTTCTCTAAATTAACCAGGTAGCCTATTCGTCAATGCATGTGCTTTCTCATGTGCAATCGCTTGTTCAAACTTTTTATTATTTTTTTCTTAAGTCATAATGAAATATATTCCCATGCTCCTGGTTCCTCTCCTCCTCTCTCCCTGCCACCAGCGCCACTGGAACCCGTCTGATCCCGGGGCAGGCCCAGAGGGGTGGGCGGCACAGGCGTCGCAGCTGGTACCCGGGGGATTGGGCGAGCTGCCATGCCGCTGGTTTGTTAACAGGTGCGCTCATGCAGGAGAAGCTACACTGTGCGTCGGAGAAGCAGTGAAACGATGAGGCAGAGTTTGAGAGTGAGGTGAGCAGCACACGGTATGGGCAGCATCGATCCCTTACCGCGTGCTTGCTTACCACACGGACCCATCCCTTACCGCGTGCTTGCTTACCTCACTCTCAAACTCCGCCTCATCGTTCCACTGGTTCTCTGCTTCTCCAGCGCAGTGTGTAGCTTCTCCGCCTCTGGAATGAGAGTGAGAATGTGAAGAGGAGGCGGTGGAGGTATATGGTGTTATTTCCCAGGACCAACAGCCTTCCTTTTCCTTCTCGCATCCCTTGCAGCCTTGGTTCAACCGCCTCGTACCACTTCTGGAATGCGAGTGAGGGGCTAGAGGTGGAGGGGAGGGGGTGGAGGCGTGAGGTGGTGAGGTGCAGTTTCCCAGGAGAATCTTAAGTTTTGCTCCGCCTCCCCACTTCCCTTGCAGCCTTGGTTCAACTGCCTCGTACCGCTTCTGGAATGAGAGCGAGGGCGTGGAGGTGGAGGGGAGGGGGTGGGCGCACGAGGAGAAGAACTGGGGGGCGTACTTCCCTGCTGGGCACGTGTGGATGCAGGGAATGTCATCTGACAACACCGTACAGGTGAGATGAAACCGTACTGGTGGAGAGATGAACTGGGGGGTATACTTCCCTGCTGGCACGTTTGGATGCAGGGCATGTCATCTGACAACAGCGTACAGGTGAGATGAAACCGTACTGGTAGAGAGAAGAACTGGGGGGCGTACTTCCCTGCTGGACACGTACGGATGCAGTCATCTGACAACAGCGTACAGGTGAGATGAAACCGTACAGGTAGAGAGGTGAGATTGTACCTGGAAAAGGGAGTTTTAGAGCAGATAGTTTGTGTTTGTAAAATGCATGGCTGTCTATCTGTAGACTGTATGGGGAAGATTAGGTACCTGCATGTACCTCCTTCTACCCACACCCATCCTCCTTCGCCCTTCTCTTTACTCACCTCGTCCTTCCCATACTTCCCTCCCCCCCCCTCCCCAATGTTGACCAACCTCTTCCCCACAGCTTGTGGGAGCGGGAGCGTTTTTCCGCTTCGCCTCCCTCCCGTCCCTCCCCTCTCCACTCATCCTCTCGCTCGGCCTCCGCACCCCACACCACTCCTTCGACTTCCGATCAATCGACCCCCTCACCTCCTTCTCTCCCCCGACAATCGACTCCTGCTCCGGCCGCTTCTCCCTCGCCGCCCGGACGCCGACCGCCGCGCTGCGGGTGCGCGTGCGGGCGGCTCCGTCGTCTTTTAGCGGGGCGGTGTGGATGCCGAGGGGGGATGGGGATTGGGATGCCACTGGGCGGGAAAGCTTCAGTGCTGTCATGGAGATTGAGGTGGAGGTGTGGGGGGATGGGGAGGGGAAGGGGAAGGGGAAGGGGGAGGGGGAGGGAAAGGGGAAGGGGTGGGGGAATGGGGAGGAGGGGAAGGGGCTTGGGGGAGAGAGGGGGAGTTCGGGAGGGGTGACAGAGGGAGGTTGGTGGGTGGGTGGGGGTGGTGGGTTGGCAAGGTTGGGTGAGTACTTGTGGGGTGTTGTTTCTGGGTGGATAGGAGTGCACGGGGAAGGTGCTGGTAGGGTGTATAAATACACGATCTACAGTGCAGCGTTGGAGTTTGCTGGGGAGTACGAATGTAAGCACAAGAAGGAATAGCTCTTTTTCAGCATTGATACTTGTGCTCAAGGCATTATTCAGTGTGCGGTATGTTGAAAATGTCAAATGTCGTCAGCAGAGCGGGAACTCACGACAGTTAACTTGCTTAGACAGATGTGATTGTTGGGGGTTGAGAAGGATCACTGCTACTGCGTCCCAAAGTTAGGATCTCGTAATAAATTCTTTTAACAACTTTGAGCAATCTGGTCATACGTCAATGCGTTAATTTATTCAGAGAAGAGTCTTGTTGCGCGAAGATGACCACGTCTGACCAGCATGCCCCCAACTTTGGCGTAGGTCGGTGTTTGGATGACGTGGAACTTTCATTCGAAGAGCGGCTGCGTGGAGTGCTACACAGTCACCCCAAGCTTCCAGAAATGCGACTCCGATCCGCTGATGCTTCGGCTTGGAGTTGCGGAGGTGGGATGCTGAGATGCCAGGGGGTGGTTTATCGAGTGAAGGTGTTTACCCAGCCCAGATTGTGCTTCTTACTAAGCTCGACTCTAAACATTTACGAGCCCGCTCTAGGCTGCAGTCCTAACTCGCGTGCCTTGTTACACCAAGAGTGAAACTGGTAGCCCTAGTTTCGAGTGAGTTCGCTTGCCTCCAGGAATCGCAATCAACTCATATCTCTTAGTTCCCCTTTCGTTCACTACGAGGCCTGGGAACTCACAAGGAGGTTAGTGAGTAGCCGCTGAAACCCAATTCTCGTTTGGACAGAAGCCCATCGCACAACCTGGCTTGGTGGGAACTTTCCCACAGTTTGGCGGAACCCAGGTGATGCCCCACCCTTGTCCTTCCGACCAGATACAGCCTGCATCGCTTCGTGTTTGCAAGAGCACGAACTCGTCGAATTCGTTTCGGGACGACTCAAATGCACATTCTTGATTGAATTCGCGCGCTCTCTTTTTACTGCTCCATCCTCACCAGCCCCGCGTAGTTAGCAATCATCTTGAGAAGTGCGAAATGGACGCACTTTTTGGCAGAAAAAGCATAGAAACTGGATCTTCCTTGCTGAATAATTAAGAATCGCCAAGTTTTCCGTTGAGATTCTGAGATAACATCTGTGGACACGATTATCATGACGACCGACCTTTTAGTTGTCCATTGGGGTACGCGAACTCTCGTTATCACGTCGCTCGTCCTGCTGCTTTTCGCCGATGGGCCCGCCGCAACTCACGCTCGGATACTACCCTACGTCTTGCCTTATCCGGGTCTCCTGAAATGTGCGCCGCCGTCTCGTTCCGCCCCTTTCGTTCCGCCCGTTTCTGCTTCCGCGCCGCGTCGTTTCCGTTTTTGGGCCCTCCTGTCGTTCTGCTTACTATGTTCTCCGCCGTTCTCATTTCCGCGGGTCCGCGGAGTCTCGGAGACCTGACGTGGGCGCTTTTGGATTGATACTATAAGATTCCCAACAGACGGCCATTTCTGCGGCGCCCATGTGTGTCCGCAAGTCTGCGCCTACGTTTGCGCCCACGTATGCGCTTATGACTGCGCCAGTGTGTGCGCCGAAATCTGCGCCCATGCGCACTGTGTTTCACGCGCCACTTTCCTCCCGCGCCGCGACGATGCGTGCAGGCGCACTGACGGCGAATCTCGAGGCGGACCTGGCGCCTGGCGGAGGGGAGCGCGCAGCGGACGCGCGGCTGGACATCCTCGTCTACAGGTGAGGGGGAAACCTGTCCGCGCATGTGTTTTCCTAGGAAGCGGAGAAAATCAGAACAAGCGAAAGGGATGGGTGGGGGACTGCCTGAGGGAATTTGAGTGTCATCACTGACCAGAAATCTTGGCCTGTAGATGATCCTTTGTTGGAACGCCCCCGACTCTTTTTGACGTCTCCATGTATTAACACATGATTCCGTCCCACGTGCGTTCCATCCCACGTGCGTTCCATCCCACGTGCGTTTATCCCATGCGCTTCTTCATCCCGTTCCCCTCCATCCATCCCTCAGCTATCGCGGCAAAACCAACGTGAAGGTTCATATTCACTACGAGAGCCCCTCCCTCGTCGCGCCCACAGGCCAGTCCATCCACGTGGGCCAAATAGGCAGCAGCAGCGGACCGATTTGGAATATTTACGGCGATTGGACGGTAGAAGATCCCGGCGAGTGGGACCTATCCGTGTGGTACATGGGCGCACGGAAGGCTGTGCCTGCGGGATCATCTAAATCTGTTTATTCTATGGTGAAGAAGATTGATCGGGCGTGGTTTAGGAGGTCGTTCTATGTGCTGGTGAAAACTGCAGCACACCCCAATGGTGCCTTGCGGGGGCAAATTCGGCGAGATGTTCCGTTTAGTTTGATTCCTTGGTCACGCTGTATCCTGTATATAAAAAGTATCCGTCCTCTGGCTCGACATCAGCTGAAGGGGAATAATAATATGCCAAGGATAGTATGAGTACTGAATGGGCGAAAGGCTAGTGCGTGGTTCCCAACATCAGCTTCTTCACTTGTATAGCAGAATAGTTTAGGCTGCCATAAAAAGCAACAGAACAGCATATTTCTCTCATGAGCACAGTACTAGGATTCAATCTTAGAAGGTTTGATTGGGCATTTGGATTGACCACCAGAAAGGGTCATGAAGAGAGTTTATATTGGAATTCACAGTTTATATTGTTTATATTAGAAACAGAACATACAAGCACTGGTCGGAGAAAAACGTTTCCAGCTGCACTCAAGAACTCCCTGACCCTGCGTGGCAACATGTTCATGGTCTGTCCAATACGCCAGCAACTCGTCAGCTGGTCGGTTGACCGCCAATTCGGTGCAATACAGCCACGCGCCGTCATTTCCGCTGCTGAAACCCACGGAGTCATTTCCACGTCATTCATCGAAACCCACATGTTCAGGGTAAACTTTCACTTGTTCCCGAAGGGTTATGTTTACTGCGTAAAGGTCCTCATCATACCGAAGATAAACTCTCCACTAATGTCTGCTCTGATCACCAAGCCTCAGTGCTCTGAGACCCCCACAAGCGCAGTTCATTCCATCTGCGTGCGCATGACACCACCAGGAGTTTCTCCAAGTGGATGCAGTTTTGCACCCAAACTAAAGCTTGTTTGGGGTAACTCAATAAGAAAAGAGAGACCTCAGTGCGACGTGTCACATCACATTCTCAATCCCAGAATTCCCAACAGGCAAACATCAAAACCCGTCATCATAAATTGTCCCCTCCTCTGTTCCTCAGCCAAAGCACTCCCGCAATTGCCGCTGAAACGCGTTCCAGCCATTTACGAGTAATCGCGCTCAACAGAGCAGATTCTTGCCGCAGTTTTCGTCTCTCTCCCCTTGGATCGCAGTGCTTCCCTAGGTAGACCTGGGTACATAACAAGATTGCGACCATGGCCTCCAAACGTGTCCAGTCTCTATCAGGTGAGTTTTCCTTCGTCTCGCCGTTTCCCTTCCAGATTGAAACGCGTTCACAGTTTTCGCATCCAGTCAGTCTGATTTTCCGAAACCAACTTTCTTCCCTGAAATTCTCATCCAATCAGCTCGGTTTCCCATACCCGCCTCGTCACCGCATTCCGTACAGGCTTCCTTCCCCTTCTCCTTATCGCATCCATCGTCGTCCGTAGTAGCACTTGCGCCGCCGATCCTGGATTCAATACTCAGTACGCCACGTTCAACGGTAGTAATTTGGAGTCCCCGGCGGTTGCTGCGACCGCGACTCGCGCATCTAGGAAGCTCGGCATCCTCCCGTTCCCCGGCTTTCTCAAGTGTAAGCTCGGACCTGCGCTTTCCATTCGTGGAAATCTGTTCCGTTGTTTTTCGTTTTCAGAAATACGACAGCCGTTAGTATTTGCGGTCGCAGTCGTAGTTCCGTGCTGATGTGCGTCCTCGACTGGCCCCCACCACGTCTGAAAACGTCTCGTCCGTTCTCCATTCTACTTCGATCATAAATATCGAACGCGCGAATATCGAACGCGCGCGCATGTGGCGCTTAATGTTTGGGCAGGCGCTGGCGTTCAAACGCGGGCGTGCATCCCATCTTCGGGGGGACCTAACGCGGACAGCTTCTGAGACGTTTCAAAATGCTTCCGTTGTGCTGTGCCTTGCTGTGCCGCGCTGTGCTGTGCTGTGCTGTGCCTCGCTGTGCCGCGCTGTGCCGCGCTGTGCCGCGCCCGCGCTGTGCTGTGCCGTGCTATGCCGCGCTGTGCTGCGCCGTGCTGTGCTGTGCTGTGCTGCGCTGTGCTGTGCTGTTCTGTGCCTTGCTGTGCCGCGCTGTGCTGTGCTGTGCTGTGCTGTGCTGTGCTGTGCCTTGCTGTGCCGCGCTGTGCTGTGCTGTGCTGTGCGGTGTTGTGGGGTGCTCGTGTGTGGCAGGTGCGCTGGTGGCAAATCTGAACGCGGGCAGTGTTCAGTCCATCCTCGGGGGAGATCCCGGTGCGGACGGCGTGGCGCTGGTGCAAGTGTACAGGTGAGGGGCGCCGGGGATTTTATTTTCAGATGAAGGTGAGGGGTGGGTGGGTGTGCAGTCCATCCTCGGAGGGGATCCCGGTGCGGTCGGTGTGGCGCTGGTGCAAGTTTACAGGTGAGGGGCGCCGATGAGTTGTGGGCTAATAGACTTTGTGACGTGCAGGTGGTTGTGGGTGGTGCCTGGTCACCGGGGTTTAGGGTGTTCTCACGACTTTGACAGAAAAGTGGAGTGCCAAGTTTGACTGTCTCTGCAGCATCTCAACCGTTTCTCCTATCCCCTCACCTCCTCCTTTCCCCCAATAGGTACAACGGGCAGACGAATGTGAACATTCGCCTGAGAGCGCATGCCTTTCTCCGCCTCCCCTATCGCCCAGACAATCAACAAGGCCTACTCAGGCAGCAACGGGCTCCCCGTGTGGGTTGCATTATCTATGACCTCTCACACCCGTCTCCCCTTCCTAACCCATCCTTTCCTCTCCTCTCCCTCCCCCCCTTCCTCTTATCCCCTTCTCTCCTTCTCTCACCCCCCACCAAAAGGTACAACGGGCAGACCAATGTGAACATCCGCCTGCGCGCGCACGCGCTCTCCTCCTCCCCCATCGCCCAGACCATCAACAAGGCCTACTCCGGCAGCAACGGGCTCCCCGTGTGGGTGGTGTCAGGGCAATGGACGCGAGACAACAGCAACGACGTATACACGCTGCAGAAGTGGTACTACGAGGCTAATAAGAAGTACCCTCCCGGGTCTGCTAGTTCTGTGTACTCTATCGTTCGGGCGATGGCCGGGGATCCGAGGCGGTACTATGCGGTGGTGAGCTCTGTGACGCGGCCGCTGGGGGCGATCAGGGGGCAGTTCAGGCGGACCCTGCCGTTCCTGCTGTACCCGTGGAATCCCTGCTAGTGTGGCTTAGCGGTATGAAAAAGGACCTCTTGGGTTGGGACACAGGGTGCTACTGAGGTGTACAGGGCTTGACTGCGTGAGTGAGTAGTCTCTGGGTGGGTATCTCTGACATCTCAGCTGAATTCGGGTAGTTTCAGAGTGACATTCCTTCCAGGGGAGGGTGTATCAACCAGAACGAGTGGGTGAAAGGGGGTCTTGAGAGAGAGGGAGACGTGGGAGGGGTTAGAGCAGGAGAGGAATACAAGGTGCATGCATCCTGATGCCTCCTAAACGTTAGGGCAGAAGGTGTGATGAGCCTCCAGCCACCACTCCCTGTCAATTCTTGATGGCAATAATTGAATGCATCTTATTGGTTGTGCATCCCTAATTGCGCCATGAATGTCGGTACATTTCCATACAGCGTCTGCAGCACCAACCAGACAATTTGCTGGATGAGATGCACTGTATCCGTATCTCCTCAACCTGTTCTGTATGGCGTGATATATTACTGAGAGCTGGGTGTGTACAGAGAGTCAGACTGGTATGTACAGGCGGGCACTTTTCCAGGTGACTTTTAATGAGTGACTCAAAAGTCACCTGTGATTTATTTCGGAGTACTGGGTATATACAGAGAGCCAGACTACGGTATGTACAGGTGGGTGTATTCATACAGGAAGGGCAAGGGACGGTAGCTACATGGCAACACATGCCTACAGGCCACCAGTGGGTGGGATGGGAAGCCCCTTACAGGGCTGCTTTATTCCAGCTGCAATACGCTGTCCTTGTGACCCTTGCCTTTCACTCTCCCTTTCCCAGCAGCAGCAGCAGACTCACTCGCTCATTCCCATAGGGATGCTCCGGCCTTCTTCCCTTCGCCTTTCACTGTCCCCTGGTTTCCTTCGTCCCTCAAGTGGCGACCCAGGTTGACTATATACAGCAGTGCATGATGCTCACACACACTTCTATTGCAGGGCCTGAGCTAGTCACATGCCCTTGCTTTTCTTATCCCCCCTTGTGGAAGCAGCAGCAGCAGGAGCAGACTCACACCCGCCACTCCCATTGGAGGTCTTCGGCCGCCTCCCCCCCTTCACCCCTCATTTTTCCTTCGTCCCTCAAGTGGCGGTCCAAGTTGACTTGGTACAGCAGTGCATGGCGCTCATACACGCTCCCGCCCTTGCCCCCACCACGACCGGTCATTTCCCCTGCGCCAGTAGCAGCAGCAGCAGACACACAGCGCTCACTCCCTTTGGAATGCTTTGCCCGCATCCCCTTCGCTTCTCAGTTTCCGCTCGCCCCTCATGTGGCGATCTAGGTTGACCTGGTACAGCAGAGCATGGCGCTCATACACACTCCCGCCCTTGCTCCCACCCCAGGACAGGGATTCCCCTGAGCCAGCAGCAGCAGCACCAGCAGATGTAGCAGCAGCAGCAGGCTCACACTCCCATATGCTATCCTGCACCAGCGTATACCCCGCCCCACGCGCTGCACCCGCCACCTGCTGCACGTTCTCCGACCCAAGATATCCCCCCACCGAACCACATCCCCCTTTGCCTGGCGCGCTTTCCACTCCCCCTGCTGACACCCCCTTGATCTCCTCTGCTCCACCCGCGCTTCCTTGTGCATTCCCGCGGACAGAATCTTGCTCCTGACGCTCAGGGCTCAGCCCCAGGCGAAGGGAAAGATCCACTGACCCGCACGCATCATCTCTGCTTGATCCTGGGTTTTGGGGAGTTTCAAGAGTTGCCTGTTTTCTGGCTGGTCCCAGGTTTCTTGCAACTGATGTGACTGCAGCGGGTGGAGATGGCAAAGCAGCAACCGGAGCGGAGAATGCAAGGTGTTCTGGGGAGTTTGGAGGGTTGCAAGGGTGCGGATCGGCAGCAGCAGCAGCAACAGCAGCAGCAGCAGCTGCAGAAGAGAAGGCAGCAGGTGGCGATGAGAGTGTGTGTGGTACTGGGTCCTCTCGAAGGAAGTCAGGGTGCCAGTTGGCAGGAGGGGGAGGTAGAACTGGGGGAGGTGGGGCGGGGGGAGGAAGAACAAGGCGAGTGAGTGCACTGCTTGCCGCTTGAGGGATTTCAAGATTCCAATGCTGGGGGGCAACCCAATCGGCACGTGCTTGCACGCACTGCTGCTGCTGCTGCTGCTGCTGCTGCTGCTGTTGCTGCTGCCAGCCTTGCAAGCCAATCCAGTCGTGCCACGTGGACGCGGTTGTAGAGCTCCTCCCCCCACCAGCGCCACGCTCCCCGTTTCCCTCAGATGAATGCGGCCAGCTTCCCGCTCTTCCCCCCCGCCCCGCCCTTCCCCACCTCCCCCCGCTCTCCGCCCTTCCCCAACTTCCCCCACGTTCCGTGATCCCCCCGCTTCCTCCCCCTGCCCCATCACAAACACCCAGCCCTTCCCCCTCCGCCAGCAAACATCCATTCCGCCTCCCCGCGATCCCTAGTAGCTCCGCCGAGCTCGCGGAAGCAGCCCAGCTCCGCAACGCGCCGCGCTGATGGTCCTTTCCAGGCGCCTCGGTCACACCGTTCGGACTTATAGGCGCACCCATAAAGCCCTTGCGCGGATTTTCCGCCCATTCTGGATCCAGCGGTCTCTTCCGCGCCTCCCGCCACCGCCGCTCGGGGGGGATGGGCGCAGCGAACGCGCTGCAGCCGTCCGCGCCTCCGCGAAGGGCTATTCGGGGGCGTTCCGCGTCTCCGGAGTGATCCCTGCCCGCAGAGGTCGACGCGGCCGCGCTGCGGGCGAACGAATCTTCTCGCGGTACAGCGGCGCGCATAGGAGCAAACTCCCCCGCCACGCGCTTCTCCAGGCCCGCGTGTTCAGCTCTGGGGGACAGGAATGCGCCAACGGTTCCGCCCACGTCGCCGTGGTGGGCGCGCAGTGGGACATCCGGGGGACCAAAAAGCGGCGGGTTTGCGACGAGCGCGCGAAGATAGTCGTCATCTGGAAGATTCTGGGCCCCCATGATTTGCAAAAACCGGCTAATGCCGCTCAATTGGCGCCTCGCGAAATGCTCGGCGTGGCTCACGCTCGACCGAGAGCAACAGCAGATGGAGTCGGCAGATACGGTGGGACGTTAATTAACCCTCTTAAGAGGAGGCCACGTGGGACGGCACCGTTGCTCGCTCGCGAGGGGCACGTGCGTGAAACGGCACGTGGTACTATGAAATGATTCGCGGCACGTGACACTTGAAGCGAATAGAAACGGTTCAGGTAGGAGCCAAAACGGTTCAGGTAGGAGCCAAGTCGTCACGATGTTTGCGGACTGCCGCTCTTAGCTTCTCGGAAGCGCTAACGAATAACCCGGAAGAGGTTTGGATAGAGCATTCTGGGTAGAGCGCACTCGTGAAACGGATTGCTAAGAATTCTAGCACAGGCGAGGAATGAAATTGCTCCACGCTCAATGTGCTCTTAGAATCCTTGTATCGGCCCACAGGACCAATGCATTTCTCTCAATTTCTGGCCGAGAGCAGCATACGCCAGCCATTCGTAGTTCGCCGCGACGCGCGAAATATGCATTCCTTGTCCACCTCCGGGAATGCAGTGCGTGTGGGCGAGCAAGCACGTGGGGTGAAATCGCAATCGTCGTGCGATCTGGCAGACATCTCTTTTGAATCGATGGCACCGCCTTGAAAGAAGATCGGCATTTCGGAATTGAATGCCGACCGAGTTGCACCAGCCAATGAGGGAGCAGCATTGCAGCTATCGTCAACGGAAATACCCACATTCCTCGAAGGTCACCAGAAGACTGCTTCCAGAAACGCGTGCCACAGAAGTATGTGCGCATGCAAGCTGTGCCTTTGGCGCAAGAATAGAATCAGACATGGCGGTTGGTTAGCTTCCAATCGACAGTGAGACGACAGCTGGATCTAGAGCGGAATTCAACAATGGTGGAGATTTCGGACGATAAGATTCGAAATGTTGAAGAGAGTTGCGGCGATTTTCTTTCGAGATAAGAATTGGGGAAATTAGGGCGGGATTACTGGTAGAAAAGGAGGGAATTGGGTCGGTGAGGGGGCACACCGTGCAGGGAAAAGGGAGGGGGGGGGGGGGGGGGGGGGGGGGGTCGCCCAGCTGGCTGGTGGGACATTTCGGAATGGGGAATGGGAATGGGGAGGGGGGAGGGAAGATTGGAAAAAGAAGGTGAGGCGGGGGGTGGTGGGGTGTAGGAAGGCGAGACGATGGTGAGCGGAACGGGGAATGGAGATGGTCGGGGGGAGGGAAGAGGGAAGGAATGCATCTGCGCCAGTTTCCTTTTCCGACAGGGAGGGAAATGCGGGGAAAGGGGAAAGCAAATTGGTTTGGGAGAATCGTCGTAGATTCTAAAATCGGATATTTTAGAAACTATTGTTTGTACAGTACATTTGTTGCGCAAGGGTACTGTAGGCAGATCGACACGAGACCCGAGAATGGTCAAAGCAAAACTGACGATACGGTCTACACGGTCGGTGATGAATGTTCCAGCACACCTTCAACCTCGTTACTGTCTACTCGTCATTGTACCCTCCGTCTCATATGCACCAAATGTGAAAGTTGAAGTGTCGAGCAGTGAGGAATATATATATATATGAGAATTTACAGCGCTAAACAAATCCAATTATAACAGTCAGTATCGACATACCGTAGGCGTGAGAGTGCCCTGGATCATCCAGGATTGCTTGCCGGATGATTCAGACACTCCTGCAACCACCACCACCCTATCTACTAATGTAAACATCAACATCACTATCATGCCCTCAACACATGTCAAGCTAAGAAAACAACCAGACGTAGGGAAGGGATCACCGTGTCGGTCAACACTACCTGTCAGCGTTCCCTATTCTCTCATCATTAGTCAGGTGGCGGAGCTCAGCAAAACCATCCGACGCGGAGCGCGAATAGGGGATCCGATTCGAGGACCATTCGCGCGCCGAGGAAGCTGCCACGTCGCAACAGGAAACCCGCTGCTTGCCGTGCTGCAAGCGGCGAGATTAAGATTTCCAGTGGCACGCGCAGTTGGGGAGAGGCAGCTGCTTCGTTGGCGGAGCTCAAACATCGGGTCGCTTTTCCGAGGGCTATGTGTCGTTCGCTGATAGGTCCCCAGGTCGAACAGCGACCTGCGCGGAACGGCTGACGTGTCCTTCACGCAAGCGGCGGTTTGCTCTCTTTCTTCCCCGCCGGTTCTTGTTGCGACGACAGCTGTGCGGTAGGCGGAAGGGGGAGGGGAGGGCGGAGCTAAGGCGGAGAGCGGAAGAGCTGGAGGGGGGAGGAGAAACGAGTCGAGCGAGTCAAGAGCTGCGTCGCTCGGCGTCGCACAACGGCTGAGCGAGTATCGTCGCACTTGACGCGGCCGCTGCGACTCGAATGTCAACGCATGGTGCGGGGGCGTAGAGAACGTCGGGATAGCTGGCGGGGGGAGTTCGAGCGCGGCGGGAAAATCGGGGGCGGATGGCGCGGGGGGGGAGTTGTGGCGGAGGACGCGGAGAGTTGGCACGCGCTTGGCGCTAGCGTTTGCAGTGCTTTCTTGCGCGCGCTTGGCATGACGCATTGGAGAAGACGCTGCGCGCCGAGCAAGGGAAGCGCAGGGTGACCCAGGGAGGTCGCGAGTCCGCGATCTCTTCTGCGCGCCGGTTTCCTTCGGCGATGGTGTTGCGGGGGAGGGGGGAGCGGAGAACATGGGATCGGCCCACTCCCGGAGAGACGGCGTGGAGTCCAATCTGCGACCCATCTGCCGAATATAACTCGCGAAACTGTACGTAATGGAACGAGACGGAATGGAAATCGATGGCCGAAAGCTTGATGTGAAATTAGCGCCTATACCGATGAGGCGAGGAAGAGAGTGGACTGGGATTCTGGGAAGTGTTGTGGGAAATGGTCCTGAGCTGACTGAGGGCAGGGAGGGGCTGGATGTATGCGATGAGCAAGAGAAGGCTGCGATATCTGAATAAAATGCTGCTGGGATGAGTTCAGTCGCACGATGGTCGTCCTTTTGAGCTCCCTGTCGCTTGAAGGACAAGCGAGATGAGAAGCGAGGGCTGGCGAGACGAAGCGATGAATGATTTCGTCAGGCGAGCAACCGAAATGTGAGGGAATTGGTTCGACTCCCCACCGACTCTTCTTCCCACCTTCCTACGACGTTCGACGACGTCGAACAGCAGTTGTTGCGACGTCGCTCGGCAAACTGTTTACGGAAGTTGGGATGGAGAATGTCGCGCTTCGTCGCTCGCACCAATCCCTGCGAGTCCACGTTTCCGCGTGCGGCTTCGAGGCAGACTTTCTGGGAACGATTCTTCTCGTGGATGAGGTGGATTGCTGTGCGACCACGGCGACGGTATGGCTTCCTGACGCAGCAGCCATCCAGGCAAGCAAAGATACAGCGACGTCATTCATATGTCACGCGCTGAACTGCACATGTCGCAGACTGCCAGTCGCAGTCCTGAAGCAGACGAAACAGCAGCAGCCAGGAGCAGCTGCCGCGATTCCTTTCGAGCAATGAGCATGTTGCTGCGACTGCCGGATACAGCAACCGCCCTCGTCCTTGGTACCGTTATGCAACATGATTGGTCGCCATCATGGCGAGGTCCATGTGCGATATTCATCCTGTCAGGCATGCCCTGCAAAAATACTTTTGGTTGGACAAGTCTTCCAACATACGAACGCAGATGAGGAAGGGATAGGCGTGAATGTGTGGAGGCTAAGCAGACCGCATGGACCAGGACGGGCAGAGCCGACAAAAGTCAGGCAGAATGTAAACCGACTTTGAAGAAACGGCCGCCAAACCAGCTCAAATCAAATAACGGTGTCGCACAACTCGCTTGCACTACCTGCTTTAACCACTTACCACCACTACGAATATTTTACGAGTGGCTTGTAGTTATCTGTGTTATAAGACTCGTCAAACAAAATTATTGATTCAAACAATGAATCTGGGTACTAAATGCTAGTGATGAATCACTCGTATTGGGATGGTGCGATGACATCATCAATCTTGAGAATCATCTTCACGACCTGTGTGGCCAGCAACAGCTGTTGCTTCTTGCCAATCAACGTCTCGAATACCTTCTGCTTGCGCATGTCGTTTGTGCCTGCATCCATGCAATCCACCCCCAAGTATGGGCAGTTCTCCTTCAAGGACACGTGGGAAAGGGGGGAGACAGAAGGTGAATGAGCAAAAAACCCTTGTGTCGACACAATCTCAATGGGCGGCACACTTGACGTGCGATGCCTTGATGCTGGACACCGTGTCAATGGGGGGCAGGGCACTGTTGACCTACGAGTCAACCAATAGGCAGAGGGTGTCCATTCATCTCAACTTTACCTAATGTGCCTCGATGCTGGACACCGTGTCAATGGGCGGCAGGCCACTGTTCTCCGCCAGATGCTGAGAAAGGCTCTTTAAAGGCGACGCTAGTCCATCCAATTTGATTCAGTGGCAAACACAGGTCGCTGGTCTCACCTTGACCTGCTGTGCCTTGATGCTGGACACCGTGTCGATGGGTGGCAGGCCGCTGTTTGACGACTCATGCAATACTCAGAGGATAGGGTGGTGACATGTTGGCGGCCTTGGGCTCACCTTGACCTGCTGTGCCTTGATGCTGGACACCGTGTCGATGGGCGGCAGGCCACTGTTCTCTCTTTAGTCGACTCATACAATACCCAGAGCACACATGGGCCTCACCTTGACCTGCTGTGCCTTGATGCTGGACACCGTGTCGATGGGTGGCAGGCAGGCCTCTGTTCTCCGCCAGATGCTGAGGAAGGCTCTTTAAATGCGACGCTAGTCCATCCAATTTGGTTCAGTAGCAAACACGGGTCGCTGGTCTCACCTTGACCTGCTGTGCCTTGATGCTGGACACCGTGTCGATGGGCGGCAGGCCACTGTTCTCCGCCAGAGCCATGGGCACCGCCTCCAGTGCCTCTGCGAACGCCCTCATGGCGTACTGGCGGGGGGGGGAGCGGGAGTGAGGGGGGGACACACAGGGGGACAGGGAATCAGGAGATGAGCACAGGAGTAAGGGAACAGGGCTGCCATGGGCACCGCCTCCAGTGCCTCTGCAAACGCCCTCATGGCGTACTGGTGGATTAAAAGGGGAGACACACAGGGGGTGTGAGGAGGGGACACACAGGGGGACAAGGCGATCAGAAGGGAGAAGGGAACACGGCTGCCATGGGCACCGCCTCCAGTGCCTCTGCAAACGCCCTCATGGCGTACTGGCGTGGTGGAAACAGGGGTGTTGGGATGGACACACAGGGGGTTACACAGGAATTCCGGGTTTAGGGTTGACACGGGGTAGGCATGGCATGGCATGGCAGTGCGCAGCGGAGGAGGAGACTGTTATGAAGCTCCACTGCAAGTTGACTTTTGAGTCGACTCAAAAGTCAACTCACATGGCAATGCGCAGTGGAGGAGGAGACTGTTATGAAGCTCCACTGCAAGCGCCCTCGTTGCGTACTCGTCGGTGGGAGCAGGGGTGCTGGAATGGGTGGGGTGAACACACAGCGGGGTTATGAAAGGAGTCACAGAATGTTACACAAGGGGTTACCCAGCATTCACCTCACCTGCTCCACCCCCGGGACCTTGTCAGCGGCTGCCTCAACAGCCAGTGAGCACGTGAGCTCCGCAGAGCCTCCCCCATACACGATGTGGTTGTCATGAAAGAGGTTGCGCGCCACACACAGCGCGTCACAAGCAAAGGTGCCAGATGCACCTCACAACAAGCCGGTGTCTCACCTGCTCCACCCCCGGGACCGTGTCGGCTGCAGCCTCGACTGCCAGCGAGCACGTGAGCTCTGCAGAGCCTCCGCCGTACACAATGTGGTTGTCTCGGATGAGGTTGCGCGCCACACACAGCGCGTCGTGCAGGCTGCGCTTCGTCTCCTCCACCATCATCTTGCTGCCTGCGGGGGGAGAGTGAGGGGAGGGTGAGAGGGAAAGGGGGACCACAGGAGCCACATAGTGTGATGGAGTCACATACACACAGCGCGTCCTGCAGGCTGCGCTTCGTCTCCTCCACCATCATCTTGCTGCCTGTGTGGGGGTGAGGGGGAAAGGAGACCACAGGTGACACATAATTTATAGGAGCCACATACACACAGGGCGTTGTGCAGGCTGCGCTTTGTCCACCATCATCTTGCTGCCTGCGGGGCGAAGTGAGGAGAGGGGGGGGTGGGAGAGTGAGAGTGAGAGGTGAGAGACACGTGCCACATAGTGCCATAGGAGCCACACAGGGCGTCATGCAAGCTGCGCTTCGTCTCCTCCACCACCATCTTGCTGCCTGTGAGTGGTGTGAGGAGAGGGGGCGTGGGAGAGTGAGAGGTGAGAGACACGTGCCACATAGTGCCATAGGAGCCACACAGGGCGTCATGCAAGCTGCGCTTCGTCTCCTCCACCACCATCTTGCTGCCTGTGAGTGGTGTGAGGAGAGGGGGCGTGGGAGAGTGAGAGGTGAGAGACACGTGCCACATAGTGCCATAGGAGCCACACAGGGCGTCATGCAAGCTGCGCTTCGTCTCCTCCACCACCATCTTGCTGCCTGTGAGTGGTGTGAGGAGAGGGGGCGTGGGAGAGTGAGAGGTGAGAGACACGTGCCACATAGTGCCATAGGAGCCACACAGGGCGTCATGCAAGCTGCGCTTCGTCTCCTCCACCACCATCTTGCTGCCTGTGAGTGGTGTGAGGAGAGGGGGCGTGGGAGAGTGAGAGGTGAGAGACACGTGCCACATAGTGCCATAGGAGCCACACAGGGCGTCATGCAAGCTGCGCTTCGTCTCCTCCACCACCATCTTGCTGCCTGTGAGTGGTGTGAGGAGAGGGGGCGTGGGAGAGTGAGAGGTGAGAGACACGTGCCACATAGTGCCATAGGAGCCACACAGGGCGCGCCATGCAGGCTGCGCTTCGTCTCCTCCACCATCATCTTGCTGCCTGCGGAGGGGCGGGGGGAAGGTGGGGAAGGAGGATCAAGAAGTGTCAGCAAGCGTTGACTGCGCCCCACACACACACAGGGCGCCATGCAGGCTGCGCCTGGTTTCCTCCACCATCATCTTGCTGCCTGCGGAGGGGAGTGAGGGTAAGGGGAAAGGAGGGAATACGAGTGGAACAGCAGGCGTCAGGAAGAATTTTGGGAACCACACAGTTTTGAGGCGCCTCAAAACTAGACTGCTGGGCGGAGGGAGGGTAGGGGGAAAGGAGGAAATAAGAATGGAACAGCAGGCGTCAGGAAGAATTATTGGAGCCACACACAGCGTGTCGTGCACATTGCACTTCCTCTACCATCGTCAGCAGCATCCCCACCCACCATTCTGCATGCCCCCCAACCGCTCTGCATGCCCCACCCCTCCTCTGCATACCTCCGCGGATGAAAATGGTGACGGCGCGTGAGTTGGCGCACCCCTCAATGTAGAGCATGCGATCCTTGGTGGTTCCGAATGCCTTCTCCCTCACCACACCCGCCTGGAAAGGAAGGGTAAGACGGAAGGAAAGCAGCACGTCATGAACGGTGTGGGTTAGTGCACCCCTCAATGTAGAGCATGCGATCCTTGGTCGCTCCAAACGCCTTCTCCCGCACCACTCCGGCCTGGATGGGGGGGGAGCAAGGAGGGAGGGAGTGGAAGCACGGTAAGGGGTAGTGCAAGCAGCGTGCTTGGGTTGGCGCACCCTTCAATGTAGAGCATGCGATCCTTGGTCGTTCCAAACGCCTTCTCCCGCACCACTCCGGCCTGGATGGGGGGGGAGCAAGGAGGGAGGTAGTGGAAGCACAATAAGGGGTAGTGCAAGAAACGTGCTTGGGTTGGCGCACCCTTCAATGTAAAGCATGCGATCCTTGGTCGTGCCGAATGCCTTCTCCCTCACCACTCCGGCCTGGATGGGTGGGGAGCAGGGAGGAAGTGGAAGCAACGTGCGTTGGCAGATGGAGCGGCAGATTGAGGGTTGGCGCACCCTTCAATGTAGTGGGAAGTGGTGGGAACGACGGGAGGGTGGGAATGACGGGAGGGTGGGAATGACGGGAGGGTGGGAATGACGCGAGAGTGGGACAACTGAGGAAGTTCAACCATAGTCGTGTTGTGCCGGGCGGGTGGGACGAGGAAACAGGTTGCATGGAAGGAAGCGGGTGGGAGAAAAGGGCGGGTGGGAAAAGGGCGAGTGGGAGGGTGGGAGGAAAGGGCGAGTGCGGGCAAAGGGCGGGTGGGAGCAAAGGGCGGGTGGGAGAAAGGGCGGGTGGGAGCAAAGGATTGATAGCCTAAACCTGACAAACTAAAGCCATGCCTGGTGACAAGACAACCAGCAAGCAAGCCCCTTTCTATAGCCCATCCCCACTCTGCCCTCTCCCCCACCTTTCCCCCACGCTCTATCATCCCTTCACCCCCACCCACGCCTCACCTTGCCCAGCTTCTCAGGTGTGAGCTCCCCCTTCTACCCCCTTTCCCTCCCCTCCCCGCCTCCTCCCCCTCCTCCCCTCTCCCCCCCCCCATGCCTCACCTTGCCCAGCTTCTCGGGTGTGAGCTCCTGGAAGCAAAGCAAGGCCCCAACCCAACCAACCCCTTGCCCCACCCCTTCCCCCATGCCTCACCTTGCCCAGCTTCTCAGGTGTGAGCTCCTGAAAGCGAGGCACAATGCGGCCGCCTGCATGTGGGTATAGCAGGGAGAGAGCGGGGGCGAGGGGAGGGGGAGAGGGGAAGAGGGAGGTACAACCGTACAGGGGGAAAAGGGTGGAGAGAGGGGGAGTGTGGGGGAGAGGGGGGAGAGTGGGGGAGTGAGGGAGAGAGGGGGGCGAGAGGGGGGGCAGGGGGGAGGTGGAGGGGGGGAAGGAGGGAGAATGGGGCAAGGGAGGGCGTGCGACAAAGGAATATCGTGGGGCAAGTTGCCTTGGCTTTCGAGCAATAAAATATGGTGCATGAGCAGCAGCGATGTATGCCACATGACACAATGTGCGGACCTGCCAGCTCACCGGTGGCTATGGCGATGAGCTCCAGCTCCACCCCCCCCACCCAGCGCACAGCCGGGAGACCGCGGTGCACCCACAACAACAGCTCACTGCTGCTGTGCGAGCAGCAGCCTATCGCACACAACAACAGCTCACCAGTGGCAATGGCAATGAGCTCGAGCTCCACCCCCCCCACCCAGCGCATGGCTAGCAGTGTGCGGGGCAAGCAGCGGTGGACGTGACACGGTGACACAACAGCAGCCATGCAGCTCACCGGTGGCGATGGCAATGAGCTCCAGCTCCACGCCCCCCACCCAGCGCACAGCGGGCAAGCTACAGTGCATGAGCACGTGGTTGACGCTGGTAGGTGGGAGCAGCAGCCCACACCAATAAAAACACTCACCAGTGGCGATCGCGATCAGCTCCAGCTCCACACCCCCCACCCAGCGCACAGCAGGCAGGCCCCGGTGCATGAGCAGATGGTTGGCCTCGTCGTCAAACCCCCACTGGCAGATCACGAGTGTTGCGCCCGCATCCTGCCAGAGAGATAGAGGGGGAAGGTGGGGTGGGGGGTGAGAGGAGAGGGAGCGTGTTGTGAGAGCATGATAGCAGACGGTTGGCCTCGTCGTCCAAGCCCCACTGGCAGATCACAGCGTGTCAATCTCCCTTGTGCTTCCTAACATAGGGGCTTCGTCTTGCCCGAGCACTGGGCTCCGCACTGGTTTCCGTACTGCACCCCCCAGTAAACCCTGAACCCCGATACCCTGATGCCCTTCCCTCACCTTGCAATGCTGCACCATATCGTCGAAGTATTTCCGCTCCGACTCCTGCAGCTCTTTCCCCCGCACCCTCCCCCCGTCCCTAGCCCTCCCTTCTCTCCCCCCCCCCCCCCTCTCACCTTGCACTGCTGAACCATATCGTCAAAGTACTTCCTCTCCGACTCCTGCAGCCGCTCGTACTTAGCTTCCCCCAACAGACCCTACACCCAAACCCTGAACCCCGCAACCCAGATGCCCTCCCTCTCACCTTGTACTGCTGCACCATATCGTCGAAGTATTTCCGCTCCGACTCCTGCAGCTCTTCCCCCCGCATCCTCCCCCCGTCCCTAGCCCTCCCTTCTCTCCCCCCCCCACCCTCTCACCTTGCACTGCTGCACCATATCGTACTTCTCCACCGTGTCAATGTCCACCTTGTGCTTCGTCTTGGGCTCCACGAGAGGCCAGTACCCCCAAACCCCCAACACCCCATAAACCCAGAACCCTGATCCGCACCTTGCACTGCTGCACCATATCGTCAAAGTATTTCCGCTCCGACTCCTGCAGCCGCTCGTACTTCTCCACCGTGTCGATATCAACCTTATGCTTCGTCTTGGGCTTGGGCGGCTCAAACGGGCACGTGAGGATCGCAATCTTGGCGTCCTCAATCCGCTTGGGCATCTGCGGGTGGCTGAAGTCCTTGTCCACTATGATCCCTCGCACCAACTCCGTTTCCTCCAGCCGCCCGCCCGTCTTGCCCTCCACCTTGATCAGCTCCAGATTCACATCACGGCGTTCCAAGTCTGCTACGGCGAGGACTGCCTGCACTGCAATCTCCGCCATCTGCCTCTTGCAGCGACCAACACTAAGTTGAGGGAAGAGTGCAGGAGACAGGGGGGACGGGGGGTGAATGGGACACTCCAGGTCTGCTACGGCTAGCACCGCCTGCACTGCAATCTCTGCCATCTGCCTCTTGCAGCGACCAACACTGGTGGGAGGATGTATGGGAGGGTGTGGGAGAAAGTGGAGAAGTGAAGGGGACGCTCAAGTCCACCACTGCCAGCACCGCCTGCACTGCTATCTCCGCCATCTGCCGCTTGCAGCGCCACACACTGAGGTTCGGGGGTGGGGGGAGAGAAGGGTGAGGGCAGGAAAGTGAGTGCGGGAAAAGGGGACGCCCAAGTCCGCCACTGCCAGCACCGCCTGCACTGCAATCTCCGCCATCTGCCTCTTACAACGACCAACGCTGTGTTCGGAATGGGATAAAGGAAGGAAGCACGGGAGAACGGGGCGTGGGAATGGGGAGGGGGGGAATTGTGAAGGGGGCACTCCCTATGACATGCGCAACTACATGTAGCAGACAGCACATCAACATTTACATCTAGCCGGATCACGCTCACATCTTGGAGGAGAGAGTGGTCATGCACTCGTTACAAGCAAATTCACATGACTACATCCAACAGCCCACTCACATCTTAGAGGAGAGCGTGGTCATGCACGTCTCCACGAGCGGCTCGAAGTTATCCTTGGAGAACTCAAACGTCTCCGCGATGGCACGCCCTGTGATGACACGCCCTGTGATCGCACGCCCTGTGACAAGCACGCTTACACCTAGCATCACCCGCCTACACCTAGCAGCACCGTACTCACATCTTGGAGGAGAGCGTGGTCATGCACGTCTCGACGAGAGGCTCGAAGTTATCCTTGGAGAATTCGAACGTCTCCGCGATCGCATCCAGATGCGCCGTGGCGATCTTGGACGCCATCTCGTACCCCTCCGCCACGCGAATGGGGTGAATTCCGCGGTCCAGAAGAGATTCCGCCTGGGGATGAGGGATTGAGTTAGCGGGCAAGGACGAAAGTCGTGAGGATGCCACGCGAATCGGGAGGAAGAAGCGAGCACGAAGCGTGCGCGAAACCTCCATAAGAAAATCCAAGCGGGAGATCGAGTACAGCGCCGCAAGAAGACAAACAAGCCAGACGTGCTCTTGACGGAGAGATTCACGTCATCCTCCCATTCATCCGCGTAAACCTGCTCTCGCTACACGCACGCACCTGCTTTAGCAGCGCGCACTTGATGGGACGAGACTGACTCTATCCTCCTTAGCGTATACCTGCTTGCGCACACACACGCATGCACGCACGCACGCACGCACGCACGCACGCACGCACGCACGCACCTGCTCTAGGAGCGCGCCGGCCGTGACGACGACGCCGGTGGTGCCGTCGCCGATCTCGAAGTCCTGGCTCTTGGACAGATCCACCATCAGCCGCCCCACGTGGTTCTCCAACTCGCATTAGAGTCCATGACGACTCACGCCACACACAAGCACCTGCTCCCGCCACATGCACGCACGTGCTAACACTACACGCGCTCACCTGCTCTAGCAGCGCGCCGGCCGTGACGACGACGCCGGTGGTGCCGTCGCCGATCTCGAAGTCCTGGCTCTTGGACAGATCCACCATCAGCCGCCCCACGTGGTTCTCCACCTCCATCTGCTCCAGAATCGTCGCGCCGTCATTCGCTGTGGAGGGAGGAGGGAAAAGGGGAAGGAGGGGTGTGGGGTTGGAGGAAAGGGATCGAATGGATTGGGGAAGCGATCGGCAAGAGGGAACGGAACAGGTTTCGACGCGACAGGTCCACCATCAGCCGCCCCACGCGGTTCTCCACCTCCATCTGCTCCAGAATCGTCGCGCCGTCGTTCGCTGTGCAGGGAACGACAAGGTTGGACGAATCGGGGATTTCGGGGTTTGGAAGGAATCAGGGCATTGGGGACGGATCGGATTTCGACGCGCCTGACCCCATCGGCCGCCCCACGAGGTTCTCCACCGCTATCTGCTCCAGAATCCTCACGTCGTCTCTCAATGGACGATACGGACGGCATGCGGGGATTGGGAATTTGGAAAGGAGGGCAATAGTTAACGAATCGGGGCTGAAAATATGTCATGTTTCGACACGTGTGAAACAACCAGCGGCCGCACGCTGGTTCTCCGCGTCAATCTGCTCCAGAACTGTCGCCGCGACGTCGTTCGCTGGAGCACAACGTGAGAGGAATCAGAGATTGGAAGGAAGGGGGGACTGGGAGGAATTGAGATCGAAAGGGACCACCGTCGCAGTTCTCTAACTCCATCTGCCGCGAGATCGCAAGATCGCTGCATTTTTTGTTGCGACAGGGGAGAGTTTTGACTGTCTAGGAAAAAACTAGAAGGCTCACGGAGCGTCGATCTGCTTCCAAAATGCAGATCCGATTAGAATTGGAGTATGCTGGAAAATATAATGCATCTGCTTTATTAATATTGCGTCCGCCTAGGAGAAGTGGATCTGCGTACTTATAGTGACGTCGCCGTCGCCGCTCTGGAGCATCTTATCCATTCCCTTAGGCCCGAGCGAGCTGCGGAGAATCTTCGCGACGGATTTGGCGGCAAGGATGTTCCCCTTCTGCGCCGCCAGACCCTTCACGCGCGACTTGCTCTCCTGCTCGCGTATGATTATAAACGGCCGACCGAACTCATCGAAAGCTAACGCCATGGCTGCTCCCTCGGCGTCAAACCGGCTGAATCAAGGCCGAGATCTGTGAGACACGACGAAGGAATTAGGGACGCGCGAAACCTGAGTCGGGAAACTGAAACAAGCTGTCTTCCAGGAAGAATATGAAAGAGATGGTTTTGGGAACTCCTGTCGCGAGCCGACATGAATCTAGAATTTGAGTGAAAGGAGAGAATAGGGTGACGCGAGGTGGGGTACGGTGATGTGGGTTTTAGCGACGTGAGGATGAATAACAGATCTGAACTGAAGGTGGTGGAGTGACAGAAAAAACTCGAAATGCGCGATACAGTTCCATGCGTTGTACATTATTACGAGCAAATGTTTATTCCAGAGTGTGTGTTTAGAAGAGTTTAGGTTAGGCTCTCAGCTAGTAAGATCTGCACAAGGTTGGGTAGATAATACATTATAGACAAAACCCAGACATGAATGTTATGATTCAAATACCACACATTCATACCCTTCGCTTCATGAATGTTGTACTACAGTGAAAGGCACGCAGCTTCATCTAAGCTTGCTGCAGACTGAATTGCCTTGATCGTAAGCTTGACCTCCATTACTTGCTCTACTTCGAACCATGCACTTGCACGTGCATGTGTATGTATGTGTCAGCGTGCATTCTGGACGCTAAGTGTGCTCTGTAGTTGCATCCTTCCTCCCACCTGTGAGCATCCTCCCCCCTATTTTCCATCCATTATGTCCAAAATTCCCAAGCATCATCTCCTCCAATTGCGATCACTGCACATGTGCTGTGCGACTATTCAACGGAACACCTGTTCTGCACCGCATTGCACCACATCCCACTGCACTGTGCGCTGCGCCGTTTCCATGGACATGTCCCCACCCATTTCGGGGTAACTTCCGCCATGGATCACCTTCCCCAAGAAACAAACTGCGAGCTTCTTCTAGCCACAAGACTATGGGGCTTGTCGCTTCCCCATCCTCCCTTCGCTCCGCGTTCTCAGATCCAGCCGTTGATTCCCCTGCCGCGCATGTGGGCGACGCGACTGCTCTCCCTCCGCTCGCTGTCACTGTCGCAGCCTCATCGCATCTGCTTTCGCCGTCGCTAGGGTGAGATGCCTCATTCGTGAGCCGCGCGGGCGCCGTGACTGTATGCCGCAGAGAACGGGAATGCGACAGCTGCTGCGACTGCTGCGACTGCGCGACCTGCGGCTGCCACGTCAGCATCTGTCCCGCCCACTCCCACAAAGAATGAAGCTCCCACGCGCTTCCCGCAGCGGCGGCGCGCGCAGCTGTCCAGCCGCCTGGCGCGCTCTTGTCTCCGCTCCCGCCTGGCTTGCGGTTTCCCCCGTGCGCCGCTTCCTGATATTCCCCGTTCCCTCCCCCAAGAAGCGAAACTTCAGCGCACTTGCCGCTCGGACGCCCTCGCGGTTCGAAGGAACGATTGCTGTCAATGGAGAGGGAAGGCGGAGAGCCGGACTCCGATGAATAACCTGCCATGGCGAGTTCCATCATGCGGCACGGCAAGTTGCGGATATCCAGCCACTTGGCAAGATCGCCGATGTCGCCGCTGCTGCTACCACCATGGTCCAGATGAGAGGACTTGCCGGAGCGGGCCCAATCGGACGGGCGTGACGAGGCGAGTCGCGTGGGTTGCGAAGGCGGAGGGTGGGTGGAAGCGGCGGTCTCGGCGGGAAACGGGGCGGGGAGAAAGAGGTGGCACGTGCGACAGGGCGGGATGGATAACAGATTGCATACGTGGCAGCGCTGCAGCACGATGCGCTTGGAATTGCGCGCGGCTGTCGTGGCGGGTGATCGAACCTTCGTGAGGGCGAGGTCTGGTTGAGTCGGCAAGAGAGGGTGCGGATTCTTGGAGCGAGAGGGCGAGGCGGCGGAGGAATCGAGGTCATCGGGTAGTTGGAGCGCTGGCGGGCGAAATATTTCGAGCTTGCTCATGGTGCTCATGCTGCTGCTTCTGCCGCTGCTGGCGCTAAGGCCCCTGAGGTTGTGTAAAATGATTTATCTTAGTCGCCTAATATACGCACTACTCTTTGTTGCTCACCAAGAAGTAGGCGCTTACTCTGACAGGCTTGTGAAAGGATTGGTTCGTCAAGGTCCAGAACGCTTTGAAAATCTCTGGCGGACGGTGTCGAAACAATCAATGACTTTCCAAATATCAGCTTCGAGCTTTACAGCAGCTGCCGCGGAGAGGGGACATCGGCCTCTGCCCGGCCGCAGCGAGCGAGAGTGTGTGGGTGGAGCTCGGTTGGATGACGTGAAAGGTGATGACCACGATGCCGGGTGATGGATGGATGTGGTTGCACGCCGAGCTCACGCTCGCGTCAGTATTGCCCTCCGATGAATCATCCACAACCAGCATCGACGGCTGGTAGGGGGAGAGGGAGGTTCAGATTTGACATGCATGCGATCGGACATTTGGGGAAGATGGTTGGCCAGCGCCGTTTTTCAAATTCACCCGTTGCGGACAGACCAAGCACGGCAGCCCAATACAGTCGTAAGTGGCAGTTTTTGCAGTCTTCGCTGTAAACGTCCGGGCCAACATCATAGACATGCAAATTAGTCTGGTAACCCTATCCAATGGTATGCAAAACCGTCTTACCTCAGTTTTAGAGTTATTGACATGCTGCCCTAGTAACGTGTTTGTTTTTATTTCAAACATTGATCCTTACCGCGCTTGCCTTCGCACTAAGACGTGAATTCTTCGGGCCAAGAAAAAAATAAACCCCGATCGGGACGGGATGCGTCAGGGAGGCATCAACCCTAAAAACAATGTCCTTTCCCGTGTTTAGGGTTGATCCCTCCGGGAAATGCGTCCAGGTTTCTACGGGTTCTATTTTTTTCCAGCCCTGCCCTAACACTTCCTGGTAGCAATATATTGGGTGCAATAAATTGTTACAAAATGGACCCCGTATAAATTTATTCCAATGGATTTTTTCGTAAATGTATCGTGCACATTTAGCGGAAAACAGTAGCCCGGAGGAATATTTGTTAGGCGCCAAAGAAAGCGCGGTAAGGACCACGAAAATACGAAATCGAAAACAAAACTGATTCTATTTTATATTTCTTCCTTTTTTGTGCTGCGTCAGCTGTTACACAGTGTTTTGAGTGGCGCTACCAGACAAACTTGCGCAGCAGAACTAGGGTATCGACGGTTTTGCATACCATTGGATAGGGTTACCAGAGTAATTTGCATGTTTATGATGTTGCCCCTAAACGTCCTCTCCGTGCAGTGGAAAAATCCATAAATCACGGGACGAAAAAAATAGAAACGTCCCACCAGGGTCAAACCACCCTGGAGGACGTCCGCCCTGAATCCCCGCAAGGAGCCATAGCGGATGGTTGTGCGGAAAGGTCTTCTGCGGTCATGGCGGAGTCTGATCTGGGGGAAGTCCCAAACCTGCGGCCCGTCATGCGATTTGAAACGAGCCGCGACTCGGTGAGCTAAACAGTGTGCGCTGCGATCCAGTGATGCATCAAATCGGCGGGCAGTTGGGGTTTCACCAGTAGCCACCTTGACTGTCCCGAGAAGGTCGTTCGAAGGACCACTGAGAGGCTAGCCATTTGGCAGACAAACTTGTCCGCAAGTAACGAACTCCTCAAATGACAAACACAAATAGGCATCCCTCTATTCGTTTCTGTAGCACCCTCGCACGCAACAGAGTTAACAAATTCGGATCCCAGTATTATTTTTAAGTGGAATCCACCACACCGAGTTACGTGCTGAGGTTCAACACGCATACGCATAGCCATTTATTTGAGCATCTCGAGCACGTAGTTTGAGAAAGGCTGAGAACCTATGGGGTAACTCACAAACATTCATCGGGGGTTATCTTTACCACGTCAGTACACTCCACTTCAGCCCGCCACTCACGGCTGCGCCACGAGCTGCGAGTTCTTCGGGTTCTGATTGGCTTCTCGTTATCTGCGTTGAAACGGCTCTCCGTTGAACGCAGCTGTTTCACCAAGTATGCACGGCAGGGACATTCCATTCCATCCCATCCCTGGCACTCACACGCACCACCACCTCCCACCACGGCAAACTCCTCGTCTCGTCTCGTATCATATCGCCACCAACCAACCACAAAGGCCAAAATAAAACATTGGCCACAAACATACTACGTCAACAGGATTTGCACATTACGCCCAAATTATGCATATATAAATTAGATAGGGGAATTAAGTTCCCTCTTCTTAACACACCATGCTCCTCCTCTCCACTAAAGCTCCCCTCACATGCCTGAAACCAGTGCTACATTCATACAACTACTTCCTACATCCATCAATTGTGCATTCGATACATTAGGCCACCTTATTGCCATAAGCACCTAAACACAAAAGGCTGAACATACAATCCCCCACAGGTGCTCACTGCACCTTTTTTCAACTCGCCTAGCCAGCTCTTGACATCCGCCACCACCACCCCTGCCCAATAATACTTTAGAAGATGGGGTCTGCAAGCCGGCATCATCCCACTCATCGTTAGTACCCGCATCCTCCTCGCCACTCATCTCCATGCCCTTCACCGAGCTCTTGCCCCCCGCACTGCGATGCACTCCTGATTGTCACCACCATTCCAGCTTATGAATACTTGGGAAGATCAGTCAGCAGTCCAGCATCGTCCCACTCCTCATCGCTGTCAGCATCCTCCTCGTCGCTCACCTCCAGGTCCTCCACAAAGCTCTTTAGCCCCCAGCTGTGCAGTCCACTCCCCACTCCTGACCAGCAACAGCTTTCCTGCTTAACTATACTTGGGAAGGTCAGTCGGCAACCCGGCATCGTCCCACTCCTCATCGCTCTCCGCATCCTCCTCGTCGCTCACTTCTAGGTTTTGACCGTCGCCACCACTCCTTCCTACGAGTACTTGGGAAGGTCGGTGGGCAACCCATCAGCGTCCCACTCCTCATCGCTGTCTGCGTCCTCCTCATCGCTCACTTCCAGGTCTTTCACAAAGCTCTTGGATCCGCGGCTGCGGTCCACCTTCTTCAGCTTCTCCTCTGGTAGCCTCTCTAGATCACACGGGGCAAACCCCCGGTGGACAAACCTGTAGGCACAAGGACAGGAGGTACCAGAGGCAGGGAACATAGCAAGTAAGCTCTTGGACCCCCGGCTGCGGTCCACCTTCTTCAGCTTCTCCTCTGGTAGCCTCTCTAAATCGCAAGGGACGAACCCCCGGTGGACAAACCTGTAGGCACGGGGAAGAGACACAAGAGGCAGGGTTGAGTGGGCAATGGCGTTGTGGGGGCGCGAGAGCGTGCATTGCCCAGCAAAGATCTCACCATCACATCTGATTGATCTTCCTCTGAAATGTCACAACACACATCACCTATCGGTGGCCCGAGCTGCATCTTCTTCCTCAGTGACCCAGCGCACACCAGTCGGCATTGAGAGTGGTCATTAGGAGGAGCTTCTCCATGCCCATGCTATGCCCATGCCCGCCACCACCTCTCCTGCACGCAACCACACACCCTCACATCACCGCTGCTTCTCCCACAATGTCACTGCACTCACCAGTCGGCAGTGCGGGTGGTCATGAGGAAGAGCTTCTCCATGCCCATGTCCACTGCCCGCTTCTCCAAGTACGCTGCAGGAGGGGGGAAGAGGAGGCATGGAGAGATGATTGGAGAGAAGGTGAGACGATGGGAGGGAAGGAAGAGCTTCTCCATGCCCATGTCCACTGCACGCTTCTCCAAATACGCTGCCAGAGGGGAAAGGGGCGAAGAGGCAAGGGGAGATAATGGGAGATGATGGGAGACGATGGGAGACGATGGGAGACGATGGGAGACGATGGGAGACGATGGGAGACGATGGGAGGGAAGGAAGAGCTTCTCCATGCCCATGTCCACTGCACGCTTCTCCAAGTATGCTGCCCAGGGGAAATGGGGCGAGAAGCGCTGATACAAACGGCAAGGTGAGAAGCGCTGGATGAAATGCAAACGGTACGGTGATACAAGCTGATACACACAGAGACAGCTAAAGGCTCTGAGCTTACAGGAAACGAATAACCTTCTTCTGCGTCAGGTTGTCCCCCCACCACCACTCACTGCCAACCACTCACCCATGCCACAGCACAGCACAGCACAGCACAGCACGCACCTAGAAGGTTGTCCCCGCGCCCGTTGCCCCGCGATGCAGGCGAGACGGCGAAGGCTGCGACCTCAGCCATGCGCGCGGAGGGGAAGGGGAAGAGCGCCGCACACGCGATGGTGTGGCCGTCACGCTCCACCACCGTGAAGAATGGGAGCTCCCGGCGCAACTGCCAGTGCAGCAAGAGGGATGGAGGGAGAATGGTGGAAAGCCGAGTATGAGCATGTGGTGTACGGTATGCACGAGGGCACACACAGGCAATGGTGTGGCCGTCCCTCTCCACCACCGTGAAGAACGGGAGCTCCCTGCGCAGCTGGTAGGGAGGGTAATGCGAGGGAGTGGAATGTGAGTGTGTGGTGTGAGACCAGCATGCCATCAGCATGCGTACACACTCGCGATGGTGTGGCCGTCCCTCTCCACCACCGTGAAGAATGAGAGCTCCCTGCGCAGCTGCCAGTGCACAGAGAGGGGTGGCGGAAGAATGATGGAAACCCGAGTATGAGCTGGATGAAAGCGGTACAAGGTGAACAGAGGAAGATCGGTGTGAGATTGCCGCACACGCGATGGTGTGGCCGTCCATCTCCACCACCGTGAAGAATGTGAGCTCCCGAGTCAAGCCAAGTCAAACAGAGTCAAGTCAGTCTGACCTGCTCGTCTCCCCGGGGCAGCAGCACGCCAGCGGCCTCCAGAGGTTCCAGCAGCGCTCTGATGCCGGGCATGTCCGACACCTGCTCCTTTGAATAGAGGGCACTCACACCCATGCTCACAACCACACTCACACTGGGTCAAACCGAGTCAAACTGCCTCTCACCTGCTCGTCCCCTCGGGGCAGCAGCATGCCAGCAGCCTCCAGGGGTTCCAGCAGCGCTCTGATGCCGGGCACTCGCAGCCACGCTCACACTCACTCACACCCAGTCAAACAGAGTCAAGCCAAGTCCCTCACCTGCTCGTCCCCTCTGGGCAGCAGCACCCCAGCGGCCTCCAGAGGCTTCAGCAGCGCTCTGATACCGGGCACTCACAGCCACACTCACTCACACTCACTCACACTCACTCACACCCAGTCAAACCGAGTCAAGCCAAGTCAAACACCTCACCTGCTCGTCCCCCCGGGGCAGCAGCACCCCAGCGGCCTCCAGGGGCTCCAGCAGCGCTCTGATGCCGGGCATGTCCGACACCTGAGCTGCCCGCGTGCCCTCGTACAAATCGCTGCCGTGGGGGGGAGGGGTGCATGGGGGGCACGGGGGGTGGAAGGAGGAGAAAGAGGAGGGGATTGACGAGGTGGTGGGGGGCTCCAGCAGCGCTCTGATACCAGGCATGTCCGACACTTGAGCTGCGCGCGTGCCCTCGTACAGATCACTGTTGGTTAAGGGGGCACGGGGAGGGGACGGAGTAGAGAGAGGGAGGAAGGGGAATATACGTAGGTGAGTGTACACGTGCGTGCTCTCGTACAGATCGCTGCGTATGGGACGCAGTGGACGGGGAGGGGGAGGGGAATGGATGGAGGAGGAAGGGGAGAGGCAACAAGGTGCAGCTCCATGCATACCCCGTGCGTTGCCTTGGCTCACGTGTCATACCGTGTTTCAAACCCACGCCAAACCGTACTGCTCACCTGGATACTGTGGTGCCAACGCCGCCCCGCGTGCAGAGAGCTCCATGCACAGGCCACATCTCCCTCACTCACTCATCTACCACCCCCCCCTCTCACCTGCAACCCCCCCCTTTCCTCACATGGACACCATACCAACACCGTCCCGTGTGTACAGCTCCAGCAGCAATGTGAGGCACGTGTGCCAATCCCACCCGCCAACCTCTCCCCTCACTTCGACACCCCCTCACCTCGAGACCATGGTACCAACGCCGTCCCGCGTGTACAGCTCCAGCAGCAATGTGAGGAGCGTGTGCCAATCCCACCCGCCAATCTCTCCCCTCACTTCGACAACCCCTCACCTGGAGACCATAGTACCAACGCCGTCCCGCGTACATCTCCAGCAGCAGCGTGCCCTCCACTCGCTCCCATGCAACCCCCTTGCATGCGCTACCCCCCATGCAACACCTTGTCCTCACCTCGAGACCATGGTACCAACACCGTCCCGTGTGTACAGCTCCAGCAGCAGCGTGCCCTCCACTGCACTGTTCAATAGATGCACCCGCCGCACCCCGCCCTGTGATCAAGGAGTGCAAAGGGATGAAGAGGGGTGAACAGGGGTGACAAGGGATGGAGAGGGTCAAGGGCATACAGCAGCAGCGTGCCCTCCACTGCACTGTTCAATAGATGCACCCGCCGCACGCCACCCTGGGTTGATCAAGGGATGGGGTGGGGTGGTGAGGGATTCTGAGGGATTAAGATCACATAAGAGGACATATAAAGGGACACAGCAGCAACGTGCCTTCCACTGCACTGTTCAATAGTTGCACCCGCCGCACTCACTCACCCCCTCCTCACTCACCCGGCATGCATAAACAGCAGCAGTGAGCTCTGACAGGAACCCATATCGCTGCACCGACCGCTCCTCTCCGCCCTCCCCACTCAACCCCCATCCATCACTCTCCCAGCACCCCTCTTCCCACTCACCCGGCAGGCGTAAACAGCAGCAGTGAGCTCTGACAGGAACCCGTATCGCTGCACCGACCGCTCCTCTCCGCCCACCGCAAACCCCCGCCTCTCCTCCGCCCTCCCCGCCCCGCCACCCCCTCCATTCCCCCCCCACCCCCACGCAGCACTCTCCCCAAACCCCGCCTCCGCCAAACCGCCATTCCCCCAACTCTCCCGCGCTCCCAACCCCTCTGCGCCCGCGCCATTGGCCCTCCCGTTCCCCCTCTCGCTCCGCGCATCTCCCCCCTCCCTTCCCCCACTGAACGTGGGGAGAGGAGGACCAGGCTTCTCGAAGCTCATGCTATACAGAGCCCTCTGCGCCTTCCATCTCTCCATACTCGCTGCAACCTCCGCCTCCTCTTCCTCCTCCTCTCCTTCCCCTCCCCTCCCCCCCCTCCCCCCACCCCTCCTCCCGCTTCTTCTTCCCCCGCTTCCCCTTCTTCCGCCTCCCCTCCCCCGCGCCCTCCCCCTCCCCCTGCCCCGCGCCCTGCGCGCCCACGAGCCCGAGGCTCCTAATATACTCCTCCCCAGCAACCGCTTTAACGTACTCCGCGGCGGTGTAACTCCGCGTGGCGCGGTTCCTTATAATCACATCCGCCTGCTGCAGCGTCAGCCACCGGATCAGCCGCCCGCGGTTGTCCGCGACCGCCCCGTCCAGCAGGCAGATCAGCTTGTCCGCTCCCAGGCCTATGGCGCACGCTGTGGCGACTTCGTATGTGCTGGGAGGGATGGGACGGGGGGAGAGGGGACGGGGGAAGAGAGTGGGTTGGGGTGCGTGTTGGGTGAGCCACCAACAGAGCCGCCCGCGGTTGTCCGCAACTGCCCCGTCCAGAAGGCAGATCAGCTTGTCCGCTCGCAGCCCTTTGGCGCACGCTGTAGCTACTTCGTACGTGCTGGGAGGGAGGAAATGCAGAGGGATTGTGAAGGGGAAAGGGCAAGCCGGTTTGGGGGGATTGTTGTCCGCAACTGCCCCGTCCAGCAGGCAGATGAGCTTGTCCTCTCCCAGGCCTATGGCGCACGCTGTGGCTACCTCGTACGTGCTGGGAGGGATGGGGCGGGACGACACTCACTTGCAGTTGAGCACCTCGCCAGCGGGAGTACACCCGAGGTTGCTGAGCAGCACGACGCAGCTGCTGTCAGGGGAAGGCAGGAGCACCCAGTGCTACCAGAGACACTAGGGAATGCAGGGACCACTCTCTGTCACCACCGAAGCAGCACACTCACTTGCAGTTGAGCACCTCGCCGGCTGGAGTGAATCCGAGGTTGCTGAGCAGCACGACGCAGCTGCTGTCGAGGCGGCTCCGGATGCGCGCCACGTCCACGCGCTTCACCTCGCCCGTCGCCCCGTAGTCCATGCCGCCCACCACGCCCCGCCGCTGCTCACCACCGCATACCACCGCACAGAAACACAGATAACCGGTTTGTGACGACAGAAAGTGAGGACAACGACGCAAGAATCGTTTCAGGTTGCTATGACCTTGCCATTCCATCCCGAACCACCTCAGCATTCAAATCAACCGCACGCAACCGCGCCCCACCCACCTTGGCGTGCACGAAGTTGCCGCTAGCGACGCTGATGCCCACTTCGTGCCACTTCTCGCTCTCGCCGTGCCGCCGCAGCACCGGGATCACCGGGCCGCGCGACAGCTTCGCCTCGATGTCCACGCGCGTGCGCCCCGACGCCTCCATCGCCGCCGCCAGCGCCTCCGTGTCCGTCACGCGATACGCGCCGTGAAACATGGACGCCACGCCGCGCTCCTCGAGAAGATCGTTGATTTGCACGTGGCTTCCCGGCACGAGCACGATGCGCACTCCCAGGCCGTGCAGCAACGCGACATCCTGCAACGGGGGGAATGGAAAGAGGATCGGGGGAGGGGAGGAGGGGGGAGAGCTGGGTCGAGACTGCACGTGGCTTCCTGGCACGAGCACGATGCGCACCCCCAGGCCGTGCAGCAGCGCGACATCCTGATGGGGGGAAACCAAGCGGGGGAAGGGGGGGAGAGAGGTAGGGGAGGGGGGAGGGGAAGGCGGAGGTAAAGAGGAGGGGGAGATCGTTGATCTGCACGTGGCTCCCCGGCACGAGCACGATGCGCACCCCCAACCCGTGCAATAACGCGACATCCTGCGAACGGGGTTAGGAGGAGGGTGGAAGCGGGAGGTCGCGCAGCAATGCAACAATGCAATGCAACGTTAGAGACGGGGAGAAGAGGAGAGAGAAGGTGGAGGAAGCGCGGGGAAAAGCGACGGAACAGCGGAGGAGGAAGGGGAAAGGGGAGGGGGGAGGGGAGGAGGGGGGGGGGAGCTCATTGTTTGTGTCCTTCTGACTGGCTAATGTACCAGGCTTCACACTTCATTACTCTGAAGTGATGAAGTAAGCTCGTACCAGACGCATGTTCCGCGCGAAGTAAGCTCGTATAGGCTCCGCATCCCAGCTCGCATGTTCTTATAACGGGAACCATGGAGACTACCCCTGTTTGTTCGCATTCGTGGGATCCGGGGTCGAACCCGCAGAAAAGAGTCAGGCCATTCGATTCACATTCGTTCCTATAACGGGGATCACGAAAACGAGGTCGAACCTGCAGGATGGAGTCGAAGATCTGACGGTTCGCGACGACGTCGCCGGGAACGACGATCACGAACGTGCTGCCGCGGTGACCCTGGATGTACGGCCACGCCTCGCGGAACCACCGCACGAACTGCGCCTCCTTCAGCGCGTCGCGCAGATCCTCTGCGCGCCCCGCGTCCTCGTCCGACGCGTCGCCTTCCGTCCGGTTCCCTCCTTGGTAGCCCTGAACCGCGACTCGGGTGTTCGTCTGGCGGCGAGACGTGACCTTGGTCGTCGATCCTGTTTTTTTCGACGGCTGCTGATGCTCCTGATGTTTCGAATTCGCCTTCGCGGTGATTGTGAGGCGCTGCGAGGATACGCCAGCGCCGATCGCGGTGGGAGCGGACACGTGGAGTGTCCCCGGTCGCGGGACGTTGGCCAATGAGAAGCCGAAGAATGGAGTATGGAGGGTGGCTTGATGATCTCGAAGCGACGAGAGCGCTGGGTCTTGAATGGATGAGATCCCCGGCGATATACATTGTCGCAGAGATGCCATAATCGCAATTGAATAGACGGCAACGGCTGAACAGCGCCAAGTGGAACTTCCGTTGCAATTGAATAAATATACACGCTAGAGAGCTGATAAAAGATGCTGCAGATGGAATTTATTAGACTGAGCAATTTTGCAACGTCGGAATAATCTGCGAGGAAGCGACAACAGCGAAGTTTGAAGCTTGAAGGACAAACGAAGCAGCGGCTCTATCAATCGAGATGAGGATCAAATGGAATGAATTCATGAAAGCATGTCAGGAGACTCGTACGGGAATGGAATGGAAACTCGCAATGGCAGCAAGACAGCAGAGGGACGCGAAATAAATCGACTCCCGAAGCAGCCATGGCAATGAATGTGGCTGAATGCGCGCTTGAAGCAGAAGTGGGCGGAATTGAGGTGCGGGCGACAGGCGGTTCAGGCGGGGAGGAAGAGTCAGGCGGAGCTGGTTGCGGAAGGCGGGAGATTAGTGCAGGTCTGCGCGGACGCTGGTTGGACAGGAATCTGCGACTCCGCCAAACGGAAGCTGACTGGTTGGGGGCCCAGGGGTTGTGGTTTGCGCGCTAGTTTGGGCTCTACCGTACCTGTCCTTCTCGCCTTGGAGAGGAAGACGTGTCAGAGGCTGAGGGACATGTGGTTTGTATGAAACGGGACAGTCGTCTGGTAAAAGGTTCGGAACCAAGGCTGCCTCATTCCTCAGCTTCGAACCAAGCCCAGCCATGCCTCACAATCTGCGTTGCTGCCTCCGTGGTTTTACGACAAATCATCGAGCTCTCATTTCGGCGGCGACCACGCGCAGCACACGATAAACTTTCCAGGTGGCAATGCAACATACGGCATCGGCTTTCGGACACGGCGATACGAGGCCAACCTGCGTCAGAATGAATCCCAGCCAACCGAAGTTTGGAGCGCAGCAGGCATTTCTCCCACCACGTGGTCTCCCACATGGGTCGTCTATGTGCAAATCCACCAATCCATCTCGCTGACTTCCAAAGATTGAGGGTGTTTCGGCCGTAAAACATCTCCGGTACTAGTGAAACCGTTATGTTTCGAGACGATTGAGGGATCAGTTTCTCCATGGAATGAGCATCTGTATTTACTCTAGTGCTTGATGAGAGAATCATTTTGTCCAGTATCTCAAGTCATTGTAGAACGATGCTGAGGAGAGGTTCACAAACCATTAGAAGCACAGCAGGCAAATCGAAAAATGCAGCTAATAAAATATCTCAGGCAGCAATGCCTTGAGAATAACAAAATGATAACTACATATTGCTTCATCTTGCTTGTCATAACGGACTCTGTACATTGGCATATGCACTTGTGTGCATGCCCACAGCACTGCTTCCTGCACAGGCCACACATTGTGCTCCGTATAACCTTCTGAGCTGAACAAAAATGCATGAGAGAAGCACTCTAAACTGAAAGCAGCCGAGCACATGTGAACCATGCTTTCTGTCCTCTGTACAAGCAATGCTCGTCTCTTAATCTTCCTTCCCAGCACTCTCACAAGGCTTGCGCCCATGCTGTGAGCCCTAACCTCCACCTGTTCCACACTGGTTGCTTGCTTAGCTCCACACGGTGCTCTACATCCCCAGCACGCTTCAGGGAGCATCAGCAGGATCATATCGCAGCTCGTCAGAGGACTGTATTCCACCGTAGTCAATCAGTCACGTCAGTGCTTGGCTCTATTGTCCAGATACAGCCGTCCCTGGGCAAAACTGCTCTTGCAACGCCGCGATTTCCTTCACGACCTCGTCAAACTCGGGGCGCGCCTCGGGGCACTTATCCCAGCACCGCTCAATCAGCCGCCGCAGCCTTGCCGGGCACTCCGCCGGTATCGTCGGCCGCAATCCGTTAAGCGCCACCGCCACCGCAGCTTGTAAAGGAGTATAATCCTCAAACGGCAGTTGACACGCGACGAGTTCCCAGAGCACGACTCCGAAGCTGTACACGTCGCTCTTGTGCGTCACGTGCCACGCGCTCGTGCCGAAAGCTTCGGGCGCCATCCAACGGTAAGTACCGACCTCCTTAGTCATGTCGCCACGCTCCCCTTTCAGCAGCGCCACGCCGAAATCGCCGACGACGGCGCGGCCGGCGGAATCGAGGAGGACGTTGGCGGATTTCAGGTCGCGGTGAATCACACCGCGCCCGTGAAGAAACGCCATGCCTTCTGCGACGTCGTGCGCGATTCGCAGGGCGTCGCCGAGCGGGAGTCGCTCGCCGTGGCGACGTCGCACAAGGTCGCTGAGCGTGCCGCCTTCCATGAGTCGCGTGACTATGCACATGCGACGGCGCGTGTCGAGGCACACGCCGACGAACTCGAGCAGTCGCGGGCACTCGTCGCACGACATGAGCGTCTGCACTTCCTGCCGGAATTCCGTCGCGCTCGCGTGGCGATCGATAGTGTCACCCTTCATTATCTTCACAGCCACCGCTTTCCCTTGATAGCTGCCGCGACGCACCTCGCCAGACGCGCCGACGGCGATAAGCGCGCCGATTTCGAGCTTGAGCGGATTGAGGAGGAACTCGCTGAATTGATTCGACGCGCTGCGACTGTTGAAGAGTAACACCTGCAGGAGGTCGTTAGCGTCGCCTGCGACACCTGCGATGCTCTTCGACGACGGGGCTCGAGACGTGAGACATGGACTTGGGGGTGGCTTACGCGCCGCACCGTTGGGAATTAGGGTTAGTCTATCGAGCGATGACGTGGACTGTTCTGTCTGGCACTTGCGGATTGTGATCGGAATGGACGTGGGAGAGCGTGGTCGCGAGGTCTGCTTCCCGGCGACCGTAAATATCTCCTCTATTTGCCGCTTCGATATCTGCGATATAGCCGCTCGGACGGTGAAAAAACCCAGAGTGTACCCGTGGACTGTTCGAAATAGGGAGCAGTCTAAAACGCGGACGCCGGTGCGCTGGAAGGCCGCCGTCAAGCTCCGCTTGCAGACGCGCACGCTACACGCGAAACTGATATTCATGATGCCCGTGCACGAAACGTCGTCCACTGACGATAGCGAAAACCCGCCAATTGACGAGTCGTCCGTTTCACTCTCGTCGCCTGTCGTCGTCGATTCGCCGCTTTCGGTCGCGCGCATGTCGAGCCGCAGTGCCGGCACGCCCTCTTTAAGCGCCGACGCCTCCTTAAGGAGGTCCATGTGCTGCAGCACGTCGGACCGCGAATAGTTCTTGGCAACATAGCTGCAGGAAGGGACAGAGAGGGTAAAGAAACGGGGTGGAGGAGACATGGGTCAGACACGAGACTTTCGAATAAAGGTACGAACTGAAGCTGAGTCGGCCTGACGTAGAACTCCGACTCTCGGCGCTCTAATCTCTCCCTTTCTCACTTCCACCCTCTATGCTCTACGGAAATTGAGAAATAGGGGAAATTACGATTACAGACTGACCATGAGCATTAACTCTCCTCCGTTCTCAAACTCTCGCAGCGCTCGCCCGCATTCCATGAATAGTACTCCTACTCACTCAGGAGACATGCAGCTCATGTGATGGCGAACCGCCGCGTCCTCCATCGCGCTCAACGAGCCGTTTCCGCTTGCCAGGTCCGCCGCCGCATCGGGATGGTCGGGCCGTGAATTAAGCGCTCGCCGGGAGCCTTTGCGGCTGAAGAAACGGGAAATGCTGAATGGGAAATGGCTTCCGTATGATCTGGGGAGCGATGCGGTGTGCTCAGGCTGAACATCTGTGCACATTATGTCGTTTGCTTGTGATTGTAACGAGTGTGCGACGTCGCACATGGCGTCGTCAATGGAGCCTCGCAACCAGGCGCGAACATTGGCGTCGTTGACGGGGGCACGAGCGTGGCTCACGGGAAGCCCCATAGCGCCACTTTTAAATTCACAAGAACCAGAAATTGCTCCTCGAGACTACAACACAAGATCGATACTACTCTGAGAAATTAAGGAGAAATGGAAGCGCGAAAGAATGCAGGGAAGTAGAACCGTTGTCAGAAACGGTTGTGTGCGTCAACGAAAAAACGGTTCACGTGGGGAGGCAGAATAATGGGTTTGTTGACAGACTGCATCATTGTACGGCTAAAGTACGCTGGCAGTTGCGTGTGAAGGCTAGACTAATCAGGGCAATGGTTGCGTGCGGGTGAATATTTCAACTCGTCCAAATGCACCTCCCATCCCAGCCCAGACCCAAACTCCCCCAAAACCCAGTCGTGGCCAGGCTGTGTGGCGTGGAGTGGTGGATGGAAAGGGTGGAGTGGGAAACTGAGGCTGCTGCTGTGCTGCTGCTGCTGTGCTGCTGCCGTTGCTGCTGGGGTGCGGGAAGTGCGGGAAGGGGGGAAATCGGGAAGCGTCGGGAGGGAGGAATCGGGATGACAAACTGGGAAGGACGAAACGCAACGCAATCGCAAGCCACGCAAGGCAGGGCGAGCGAGGCGAGCAGGAGGGGATCGACGACATGGGGGGGAGACGAGGGGGGCAGGGAGCGACGAGTTGCCATTGTCGAGGAGGCTCGTTCAGACCAGAGGCCCTTGCAGGCAAGATGCGGATGCTGGGAGGTTGGGGTGTGGTTGGGGGAAGCGGCAAGCGCGGGGTTCAGCGAGATGAAAATCGCTGCGCCGACTGGGATCGGCGCGCTCGATTGCGCGGAGCAAGTGGGTGGGAGTCGGGGTGTACGTCAGCTTTCCTCCGCTTCGCTGGCGCTTCAGTTTCACTTTGTTGAATCTCCGCGTCAGCGGTCCCGATTCAATGCCACCTCAAACGGCCAGCCGTGACATCGCAGTCTGCTGCAGGCAGCTGGGCAGAAGACAGATGCTGGAGCAAGATTCCCCCGTGAGGAGGCCCACATTCGCCACATCAGTGTACAGTTTCGTGTGCTCAACCAATCATAGACGATCCCGCCAAGGATAAGAAGTTATGGCTCACAATGTTCTGCTCGTTTGCTCCAACGAGCAAGCGGAATATCTCCGCTGGCAGTGCTGCGCGTGGTCCTGTAATGGCGTGACCAATCTCTTGTCACTGTACAGTTTATCATCTCTTTCAGTCAGACTCGAATGTCGAGTCGAGACAAAGATGCTGTTCAGCAGCAGCCTCCCCCAGCTTGAATGGGCCAACTGACGACGAATGGCCAACGGCCGCCACGCCAGCGATGGAGTTAAGGTGCCATTACGTCAGATAAGTAGAGATAAATTCGCCACGTGGGACCGTGGACGAGCGACATCCCTCCATTCACGTCACCAATTTCGCTTACGTCTCGAAGATTTAATCCAGAAACATTCCAAACTTTCCCAAGAACTGGCCAAACATTATTCAAATACGGATCTGTACTGTTTTACCGGATCACTCGCGAAAAATGTTCTTGTAATATTGGAATACGTCAGCAGAACACTGAAAACGATATTAACATTGGCCACGTCACAAATATGCTCTATGGCAGACTTCTGTCGTGGCGTATCAGTCGTGAGTCGTGACTCGAATTTGACTTCTGCCAAAAGGAAACAGCCAACCTTGTCAGGCTAGAATACGAATCCTCCAATCAAGTCGCGGAATAATACGTGGAAAATAAGTGGATATCACCTTGGGGAGTCGAAAAGCCAACCTCTTCGAATCAGAAATAGGTTAAAAGTCAGCTCCATGTGATCCGAGTCAGTTAAACTGTCGAAAGCAATCCAGCGCACCGACCGGCACACGCCAAAGCATGTGAACCTGGATGACTGGCATCATTCCGTTCCTTGTGTTGAGTAATTCGTTGCCTACTGTCGAAAAGAAAAAGAAAAATCATTGCAACCGAGATATCTCCAATTCCACATCCACCTCCTGCAGGACAGCAGCACTGAACACACACCACACAAGGTTTTAGAACAAGATGCATTTGCTCCTGATATTTTCTCGTGTGGTACAACCAAGACCAGCACCATCCACGCTGGATCCACGAAGGGGCACGTGATGATGACATCACGTGAATGACGCAAGGAGCAAGGGCACCCGAATGACAAAGTGAGTGTACGGATGACCTCAAGGAACAAAGGAAAAACCCCGGTATACCTAGAGCTTCTCCCAAATAAGGTCCAGCCTTTGTAGAATGGAATTTGTTTGAGTAGGCTGATATTCAGAGAAATTATATATGGTCTAAGCATGCCCAGCCATAGCACACATTGTACCCTGTATACCTTTGGCTGACACTGCACACATGCACAGCCAGGCCTGAGCACACTCCGCACTCCCCTAACCTACTGAATCCATAACTTCGGTCCTAACCAAACAAACAGATATGCTGCCGAGAAGCAGGACAGAAGGCGGGTAACATAAAAACGATATGCAACAGAAATCCCTGATTCCAGGAGCTTCAACACCACCCATGTGCAGAAATTCCCAGCAGCAGAAGACTGCAGACAGCAGCAGTCGCACAATGCACACACAACAGGCTCAGCATGCACTCAACATGCATGCCAGCATGTATGCATGCCCGCCCTATCAACCCAGTTGCCTTCTCACCAACACGCCACAACACCCCCACGGGCATGCTGACACGCCAAGAGAGAAGAATTGAACCGTTGTGATCAAACCAGAGGGGAACTCAACGGTGCAGATCACAAAGGGTAATCTACTTCCAATCCAATACAACCAACCGACCAACACAAACAAAACTGAGAAGCCATGGAGGGAACCTGGAGCGAGCAGATCTCTCTCAGCACAGCCACACTAGCACACGCTGCCACACAGCCTGCACAGCCGTGCATCAACACATTGATGTTAATGTTCTGATGCTGGTGCTGGTATTGATGTTCTAATACTGGTGTTATTGATGTTCTGCTACTGGTGCTGGTACTGGTACTGGTACTGGACCGCAGCTGCCTGCGTGCTCCACTGCATCTCTCTCACCATCTCTGCATCTCACTGACTACCCCTCCTCCTCCCTTGTGCCCTCCATGCCCTCCTGCCTCCACCGTTTGACTCAAGCCAGACAAGGCCACCACCAGCAGCACCACCACCAGCAGCCCTACCACGCGCCCTGGCCAACACACATTACCCCACCGCTACCCACCACTGTGCACAACACCCCACCACTGATCGCTGCTGTGCTCGCCACACTGCTTGCCCTCCCTGCCTTTCCTGTCCTCCCTGTCCTGCCTACCCTCCTTGCTCTTCTCACCCTAATTCCTCCTGCCACTCACCACTGGCCCCCTCCGCTCCCCCCCACCCCCACTGCATCAGCCCGTGCCCTGCATCATCAGCCTGCCCTCGCCCACCACTACCACCACTCCCACCACTCTCACCACTCCAACCACTCCACCACAGTCAGCTCTACTCTGACTTGTTCTCCCGGACTGCCTCTCCACCATCAGACTTGCAGGCTTGCAACCCGCCCTAATCCGAGTCAACATCATCACTGTAAACAGCGTCCTCATCGCTCGCTTCATCCAACCTTCTCATGTCCAGCTGGTACCTCAGAATCCCGCCGATCCCACCGACCGATCCGCCGCTCCCTCCAATCCCCCCTATCCAGGAGACGTCACCGCTGCCCGCCCTAATCCGAATCATCATCGTAAACAGCATCGTCGTCGCTCGCTTCATCAAACGTTCTCATGTCCAGCTGGTACCTCAGAATCCCGCCGATCCCACCAAACCCTCGGCAGAACTGCGACCCCTCCTGGCTCTTGTTGGTCACAAACTCAAGCGTGCACCCAAACTTCTTGTACCCCTCTGCAAACCACTCTAGCAGGGACGTCTTCTCCTGCACCTCCAGCTCGGCGCCTGTCTCGGCCTCTCGGAAGTGGCTTTGGTCGCTCTCCTGCTCCTTGCTCAGATTCTTGATCACGATCTCCCCAGTCACTGCGTTCTGTGCGGTGGAGAGGGGTGGAAAAGGGTGGAGAGGGGTAGAGAGCGGCGATGAAGGGTGAAGAGGGGTACAGAGGGGTGAAGAAGGACGTCTTCTCCTGCACCTCCAGCTCTGCGCCTGTCTCGGCCTCTCGGAAGTGGCTCTGGTCGCTCTCCTGCTCCTTGCTCAGATTCTTGATCACAATCTCGCCCGTCACGGCATTCTGTGCGGTGGAAAGGGGTGAGGAGGGGCGACGAGCAGTGAAGAGGGGTGGAGAGGGGTGAGGCGGGGTGAGGGGGGGTGAGGGGGGGTGAAGAAGGGCGAAAATGGGGTTGGCAATTGAGTGTGGAGGGCGCAAAGAAACACATCTGGTTCTTCCACTCAAATGGAACAACAGCCACCCATCTCAAGTGCGAGCAGCATGGTATGGCGGTGCCTTCCTACCCCCATGCCATCACCTCCATTCCCATGGCCCCAAGGCACAACCACCATACCGTGCACCCTCCACAGCATGACTCTGTGTATGTTTATCCCGCCCCATTGCACCTTGAGCGTGTATCGGTTCACATCCAGGTTCTCCCACACTATTCAGGATCTCCACGGAGTCCATCACAGGGATGCATGCATGCCCCAACGCAGCCCTACATATGTTCATCGCTTGCACCCACTCTCACCTTGAGAGTGTACCGGTTGACATCCAGGTTCTCCCACACGATGAGGATCTCCACGGCGCCCATCTCCA